TTTCTCTCTTTCTTTATTGCCTAAAGCTTCTGTTGACTTTACGATCGAATCGCTTCCTGGACAAATCCGTTAGTCAAATAATAACCCTTTTTCTTTTTCAAACAAGATTTCTTTCGTGAAGTCTTCTTCTTCTTCTTTCCTCTATTTTTTTACATCAACGCAAACATTCAGGAAATTCAAGTATTATATAATAAATAATAAAAATCAAATTTTTTTTTTAATGTTGGTATTAATTTTTAATATAGAAAAAAATTTAATAGAAATTAATTATAATAAACAATTTAAAAAAATTTAATTATAATAAACAATTAATTTTTAAAAAATTTAATTAAAAAGTTAAAACAAATAGAAAATAATTTTTGAAAAACGGAAGTAAAAAAATTTTTTTTTTTGGAAAAATTATTATAATAAAAAATAAATAAAAATGATCCGATATTTTAATTACGTGTATTCGTGAATTTTTTTTGCATTCGTTGATGCATATTTGCATAAAAAAAAAAAAAATTGAAAAAAAAGTGTAAAGACTCTTGCTAATTAATCTAGTCACGCCACAATGTTCTGAAAGATAACGAACTCACTATATGGCCTCTGGGTCTAAGACGTGACGCGACGTAAGTGTCGCTTGATAAGGGATGCCATTAAACGATATATCTAGGATGTTGTGTGTGATAAAGGTGTATATATACATATTTTTCCTGTCAAGTATATATTCCCTTTTAACAAGTCTTCTATTGCGCGCACCGATTGAAAGTCAATATATTTACTAACGCAAAATCTCATAAACTTTTCACACAATCCAACAAGCAAAACTTTCTAAAATAATAAATTATTCATTAGTCTCATTTTCAAATTGCGCCTTTTCCATAATTTATTTCTTTATTTATAATTTTAATATTAATATTTATATTTAATATTTAATATTTAATATTTATAATTTATTATTTATAATTAATAATTTTCTCATGATTTTCAAATTTAGCGCTACGATTCAAGTTGGCAGTTTCGTTCCAACTGTCAAAATCAAAGTTGGCAGTACCGTTCCATCTGTCAAGAAATTTCAATTATCGAAATTGCGCCTTTTCCATAATTTGTTTCTTTATTTATAAAATAATATTTATATTTAATATTGATATTTAATATTTATATTTAATATTTATATTTAATATTTATAATTTATTATTATAATTAATAATTTTCTCATGATTTTCAAATTTAGCGCTGTGATTTAAGTTGGCAGTTCCGTTCCAACATAATAGTTGTCAGTACCGTTCTAACTGTCAAGAAAACTGTCAAGTTTATAACCTCAAAAAAATGTTTCGCTGTTTACAAACAGTCTTTTAAAATAAATAATATATTAATCTAATATATATTATTTGTATCAGGTAATTATTATATTTAATGCAAAAAATATTGCATCAGAAAAATATTTGATTATAATATTGAATCATCGGATGAGAAAGAAGAATTTGCAATTTGATTTTGTTTTTTAATCACTTACGATCGTAAATAATATATATATGATAGAAAGGATATGATTTTATGAAGGAGAATTGAATTTATGAGTAATAGAAATAGTGTATGTAATAGAAATCTAGACAAGATTTTAATAATGTACGCACGTCTATGTATATGACTAATACCATTACTAATAGTCGTATATAACCAATAGAGAAGGACGTTTATCTTTTGCTGACTTAACCCTCTCCCTCACTATATATATATGTCTATATATGAAAGGATCTTTTCTCTCTTATCTTAAGAGAGAAGAGAGTAAAATGAGTTTGTCCTTATTAAGGCTTCCTGTTTATCTTTTGCAGGAGCAAAGCGTAGGATGGAACCAACATTGCGAGGAGTCTTTTTACATTGAAGAGGAGGATCGACGAGGAAGAGGAACAAAGATGCCTGCCTCGCAAACCGCCGCCACTGAGCGGCGAAACGATCGATCGGTGAGTTTTTTTCTTTTTTTCTAAATTAATTTTGCAATTTTTGAAAATTTTAATAGATTCAACATGTCGAGGGATCATTAAATGATATATTTGAAACACGATTTCCATAGGTCTAATTCTATCGAGGCAGAGTTCCGCTTCCGGTTTTTGCGGTAACGATATCGAATGATTGGCACGCCCTGATCGTTTTCTCTCTATTCAACTCTCTCAAACATCGTTTGTGTTGATCGTCAAACTTGACTTCTGATTTCCCTATCAACACTCTACTGTCTATTATCATGAGCAAATTGGACGCGGGAAAAAAAGTTCACTTATATAAATTAATGCATAAAGTCTTCTAATATCATTCATCTTTCAAAATACCATTTATGGAGTTGAAATCAAATCTAATAATTTATTCTCTTCTCTTATTTGTTTTTCTTTCTCTCGATTTTGAAATTAATTTTTCTCTCTTAGTTTTTAATAGAAATTATTTTTAATTTTAAATATTATTTGAATTATTTTTGTTGATGATTTATCTCTCTCTTTTTTTGATAGTTTTTTTTTTTTTTAAATATCTCTCGAAATACCAGACGATGGGACTTGTCACGCAGACGCAAAAGAAAGAGTTGTAGATATATTTAGTCTATATATTGATCTGTGAAATTCCAAGTGAAAATCTGTCTCAAAGCTTGCGAAAAGCAATAATATTTTGCTAACTTTTGATTTGCTTTTACTGCATTCTGAGCCTCTTAACTTCTTGACAGAGTGAGAATTCATTTCTCATCTCTTGAAATTTGAATTTTAACTTCGATGAACAATAATTTTTATTAACTAGTTTTTTTTTATTTAAATAAATTATATTTCAGATCACACATGAGCCACCAAAATTAAAAACAACGCTCAAAACACCACCAAAACAAGCAACAAATCCCCTTCAGTTTGTGAAGGTTGGACCATGTTCGCTTTATCGGACAGCTCAAGAGCAACTTCAAAAAGTCCAAGAAGTCAAAAAGATCAAACAGGAAGTGCGAGAAGATCCCGAAGATTGGCAGTCAGTAAGTAGAATAACATTTCAAATATAAATAGATCATTGGAAAATACATTTCCTAATTCCCTTAATTTTCTTTTCTATTATTTTAATTTTTATTTCAATTTTGAAAAATTCTTTTCTATTTTTCAAATCAGTTTTAATTCTTCGAACTCAATTTTTTTTTTTGTAATTTCTTTTTAACAGAATTTAGACAACTGGAAAAGTAGTCGAAGGAAGCGTCAGGAACATATAATTGAACGTGTCGTTGAAGTAAAAAAACTAGAATTAGAAGAACATGATCGGCAGCGTCGACGAAGTAAAACCTTCTCGGAAATGATGGAGGAAAGAGGAAATAGAGGCCGGAAATTGAGCATGAGTCTAACAATGTACCACGAAGAGGACTCGAACGATCTCAGTGATCTTGGAATTGGTACCAGCAGTGGAAAAAGTTCTGTTAGCGGCGACACTCACGACGATACGCACAGTGTTTTAGTAAGTACCAAAAAAAAAAAAAAAAAAATTATAAAAATAACAAAAAAAAAAAACTAACAATTTTTTTTTCCTACAGAGCGACAGAGACAGCGAAATTGAAAAAAATCACTCAGATGTCGATAATGCACCAATTGAAAATGGCAACGAATCGGAAAATTTAAAGGCCAAAATTTCAAATGGTTTTCACAATAATCATGAATATGATTCGGCGGCAACAGCAACGGCAAGTTCACCAGAACCTGAAGAATACACCTACGAAGGAGCAATACGTGGTTATGTTTCAAGAGTAGCGCAAAATATTCCCCGAAGATCATTAGCGAATCTTGAAGTGAAACTCGAGAATTCCAAATCAACGACAAATGGATCGAAAACAAATCTCAATGATGAAACAACGAATGGATCACCAATTGTTAAAGTCGATATTTTAAAAAGAAGGGAAATTTTTGAAAAAGCTGCTCAAAATAATGGGGACAATAAAATGAATAATAGATTAAGTTCCGAATTTTCAAATAATAAATCAATTAAAGAACGTTTATCACATCTTGAAAAACAAAAAAATGATTCAGAATGTTTTGAAAAAACTAATAGTAAAGCATTAAATAGGCTTTCGGGTGATATGCATTCAATACGCGAGAGATTGTCACATTTAGAGAAACAAGCATCGGAAAGAGAGAAAATAAATAATCATGACGAAGATTTAGAAACTATTCGACCATTAAGAGAACGACTCTCAACACTTGAGAAATACAGTAGCAATGATGAATTTTCAATTTGTCATGGTGAATTATCAGCGAGAACAATTAAAAATCGTCTCAATTCACTCGATACAACAAGAAATAAAGAAGAAAAGAGAAATTCATCAATTAAAAATAATCATTGCTTTCGAGATCAAGATAATAGAAATGATAATTCAACACCAAGTGAAAGAAGTTCATCACCCGATTCAGAATATAGAGCACCAAGGGCTCCATTTCATCGTAGTCTTGATTCTTTAGATGCTGATGCATCAAGTGGACCCGATACATTCGAAAGAGTTCAAAGTCTCGAGGAATTGGATTATACACGTCGTTATCCTGCTTCTTCATCGTCGGCAGAAATTCTCAACGATACTGACAGAGAGGATTCTGGTATTCATACAGCTGATGTAAGTTGTTCAGTGAGTCAAGCCGATGAACCCGTTGACGAGGAGGTAATTCACAATCACGTTGAGAGACAACAAGTTATTATTGAAGAAAATCAAGAATCACCAATATTGGAAATACGAAAAGACGAATTGAGAAGAGAATCAAAGAAGGAAGAATTAAGAGAGGAATTAAAGAAAGAAGAATTAAAGAACGAAACAGATGATACAGTTTGCCAGAGAGAAGCAGTGACAACAATAAAGGTAGGATTTCAAAAAAAAAAAATATTTTCTTTACCTCTATATGGTTAAGGATCTTTAAAATTAAAAAAACAATTCTTTAGGGTACTGCTGAAAATACTTCCGGTGAACAGACGTCTAAAATTGATCCTCTAGTTACTAATAATTCTCATTCCCTTTCTTCATCACGTCCAATAATTTATCAGAGTCCAAAAGTACCTCCTCGAAGAACTCCGCCTGAAATTTTGAAATTTCAATGCAAATCCAATATTGTTCAACCGGCTTTTAAATTAAATCTCACGGAAGAAATCAGGGAAAAATCATCCTTTGAAAGTTCCGATTCATCTCCAGCATCACCACCAACACCAACTTTTCCAACTTCCATTAGATTATTTCCCAATGATTCAAAATCATTATCTCCTTGCACATCGCCAAGAACATCAAAAATACCAACACCACTACCTCGTAAATCAATATCAAAATCTCCCGTTGAAAATTCCTCTTGGATTTATCCTGGTCCATTGGTTTCTTTAGCTTCTCCTCTAGTTTCACCTTCTTTGATTTCTTCTGTTACTTTTTCTAATTCTTCTTCTTCGACTTCTTCCTTATCATCTCCTGCTAAAATTTCTCCAAAGACGCGTAAAACTTCCGAAATTCCTGTGCCAATTCCCACGAGTCCTTTATTAAATAGTTCCAAATTATCTTTTCAAAAAATTGACGATTTAACAAAATCTACATCCTCAATTCCTGTTTCAAATTCCCCTTCCTCAAAATCGAATCAGGTGATGGATACAAGATCAACAGACAAACGACTTATGGTGGTGGAAGTTTGGGAAAAGGTGACGGTTCCCCAAGGACAAACTCCTGCATCGGCTTTGGTCACTCCAAGCAACGAGTGTTTTAAAAATGGCCAAAACTCTGAGGTTAGAACTGATGAGTTGAAAATTAATTCTTTACGAAAATCTTAAAAAAAAAAATTTTTTTCCAAATTTCATTCAGCCTAGCTAATCTTTTGCTATATTTGTAAATAGTCGGGATTAGGAGATAGAATGAGTGACAGGAAAGACGTATCTAATTATTAATTAAAAGCAAATTAAAGCTAATTAAAACTAATTAAAACAAATTTAATTTAATAATAAATTTAATTCGATAAAGTAAATAATTACTTTAATTAATAAATAAACATTTAATTAAAAAAATTACTAACATATAATTAAACTAAATAATAAATTTTGATTTTCTATATTCTATTCTTTGATTCGCGGTAGAAAATAAAAATTAAAAAAAAAAAAGTAGAAAATTTAGAAGACTGATTATTATATATTAAGATAAATTGAATGCCAATATTAACTTTTTTTAAATATCGTAATATAAAAATTATTTTCTATATAAAAAAAATATTTTGTACGAAAAGTTAGATGAATAATTTATTCAATTTTTAAAAAATTAAATAATTTTTTTTTTCTATATTTTTTAAAATGATTTACGATGAATTTTATTAGAATAAATCTTTTTCTAAATGTGATCTAAACGTTTCAATGGTTTTTATGATAAATTTTATTAGATATATATAGAATTTTAAAAAAGTGATCTTTAAAAGAAATTTTATTTATAGAATAAAATTTTTTTTTTTTCCCCCCTTTGAAAAGCGATCTTTTTAACGCTCTCAATATTTTTATGATAAAATTGTATTAGAAGATATTTATATATAAATAATAAGATTTTTCTAAGTATGCGATCGTTTTATGGAGTTTGAAATTATAATCATCTTCTTCTATTTTTCATCTATATTATACTTTATGGAGTTTGAATAGTTTTCAAGCATCATCAAGCTTCAACCGGTTTTTTCACATAATTGTGTGTAAATTACAAAAGAATTTATAACGAGTTTGTGAATACAATATAATATTATATTAGATGCAGTAGATCTCACATTAAAATTGTGAATTTAATAATGCATTGAATTTCAAATTATTTTATTTTTTTTTTTTTAAAGACAATATAATGAAGATTTGTAAGACTGAATATACAGTACTTCCTATATTTCAAAACTTGAATAGATCATCGCGGTTAATTGTTGAAATTTTCCATTCAGCAGATGATATCTGTCATTTCTAGAAAAAATTATTATTTTCCTAATAATTAATATATTATCTCAGTGCTTGAAAAAGGTTATAATTTAAATTAAATTAAAATTTTTTTTAATTATTCTTTTTTCAAATTAATTGAAATTTTTTTTTAATTATCGAGAAATGAATAAAAAAAAATCTCAAATCCTGTCACTCGTGAATCTAGAAACTTGTAGCTAAAAAATGTAAATAGACTGTAAGAGAATCAAAACTATAACCCCAAGGAGTATATAAATATAGAGAAAATAGTTTTAAAAAAAATTTTTTTTTTTTTGAATTTAAGTACCAGTTTTAAAAATAGAAATCGATATAGGACTAATAGATTGACATTCTCAAAGAGTGTAAAATTTGGTCCGTAAGAGAAGTCTAATATTGTAACGATTGTGATAAATCTATAATATTCTCCTCTCCTTAGACGAGGGAAAAAAAAAAAAAAAAAAAAAAAACTTGTACGCTAATTTATTATTTATTTCTGTGAGCTTTAAAGACGATTTGAGGAGAAAAAAAACACACATAACGTGATAAATGAATTACGTGAAAGAGAAAGGAAAAGTTTTGGAACATTTTTTTTTTTCGAGCATAAAGACTTATTCTTTAATTTAATTCTGTTGTATCTTATAATAAATAATTATTGACAATACAACACGATACTTGTTCGTCGAGAGTAGAGCATTTTTTCGAAAAAGTATACGATGTAACACGAAATATAAGATTAATTGGGCAGTCAAGTCTCTCATTTCCTACTTTTTTAATCACTCACCACTTTTTCTGGTCGATCAATCAGTTCACATCTCAAAATAAAAAAAAAATAGTATTTTCTCAATTTAAAACCATTTGATAATTATTTATTTTAGTTTTAGAACAAAATTGAGCTTTGAACTTTGATTGACAATGGCATGCAATTGTGAATTTGCTATTTTTTTAAAAAAAAGCCTTTTTTAGTGCTGAGAAATTTTGATTACAAAATTTGAGTTTTTTTTTTTAGTAAATGGATTGATTTTTGATTAATTTAGAGAGAGAGGAAAAGACGAGTTTTTTTTTCAAGTGCAGAATAAATGTAAAAAAAAAGAAACTTGGAAATTGTGTAAAATGTCCTACGCCAGTGGTTTATTAATGAATTTCTATTGCTCAGTCCAGCGTTGTCAGTTCCGGTAATTATTTAGTGCCAATTAAAGTCGACGAGTGCATCATAGTCCCACGTAATAATACCCGCAAATAAAAGTAGTTAACGAAGTCAGTACTAGCTTATTAGAATCAGTAGATTGTAACTATTGCCTTTTTACACTCACACAAAGAGTATATTTTTCCTCGAAACTAATATTGAAAAATAAGATATTGTCTGGCAATATAATAATGTTATTTTTATCTTTTAAATTTAGTAATTTTTTTTATCTTTTCAATTTAGCGATTTTTTTTCATTTAATTTATTAATAATATTATACAAATTATTGCAATAATTCTCTATTTAAAAAAAATTTGCGATTCAATTTTTAAATATTATTAAAGAATTTAATAATTTACAATTGAATTAAATTTATTTATTTTTTCATTCGTTTTAATTGAAATATGCAAGTTTCGGTATATTTTTTTCTCGTGAGACTTCAAAATAAAAAGAAAAAGAAAACAAAATAAAAAAAAGTGAGAAGAGGCTTAGAAAAATAATTGAAGTTTGACATCTGCTTCTTCCCGCTGGACCTTCTTATATAGTCTAAAGCTTGGGGTTCTTTATAAGAGGTAAGGCAGTGTTCTTAAAACGCCTCCGCTTGAAAGACAATCCGATTTGCAATGATGTCATTTTATCGACAAGACTATAAAAAAAAATTGAATTAATTTATTGCCCAACATTAAGTTGTAAATAACTGGAAATTTTATCGTGACTCGTAGTTGAGAGTAAATCTCATTGTTTGCTTTTTATCAGCATTTCTTATCAATAAAAAAAAAAAAATTACGGTTATTTTCTGAAGTGATGAAAATTTTTTTACGAAAAATTGAAAAATTGTTATACACTTAATTTGAATTATAAAACTAAATTTTAATTTAAAAAATTATATTTCAAGAAATTATTAGTTTTATTTTTTGAAAAATGTTTGAAAAATATTTGCAGATCGGAACTATTTTTCTGCAAGGCTGTGCTTGATTATGCAAATGCTTATCTTTCGAAAAATTTCTCCACCTTTTTTTTTTTTCTAAAAAACAGTTTTTTTAATTTAAGAAAAATAATTATTATTTTCTGTGAGTATTAGATAATTAAGTAGCTAGAAAAAAAATAGATTTTGATTTGTCACTGATAAGATAATTTCCTTGAAAATTGAATTACGTGTTTAGAAAATTAATAAATTCTTATCTCTTCTGTTAAATAAACGTCACAATATACAATTTATGAAAAATTATTTATTATTATTTTTTTAAAACAATTTTTAAAAAATTAGTTTAATAATTGCATAATTACTAATTAATTATTATTATTATTATTATAATTGTGGATTAATTAGAAAATTCTATTTTGTTTTGTATGTCAATAAATAATAATTTATATTTTTGAAATTTAATTTAAAAATATAAATTTTCTTATAGAAAATTAAATTACTTTAGTAATATTTTTAAAAATAATCATTTGATAAATGAAGTGACAAATTTTTGTCTTATCAGAATCATTTCATAAATGTAAAACGTTTTCTATATCAGTATAAATTTACCTTTCGAGACTGAAGATAGTTATTACGAAACACTGACCGAAGTCTGCTTTTTTAAACCACAGAAATTAAATAATTATTACTTTATAAAATGGAGGTAAATGACATTTTTTTCTAATTCTTATATAATAAATTACAATTGCGATAAATAATAATAAAAAAAAAACATTTTTATTATTATTCTTACTAATGAATATCGTATAATTAAAAAAACTGAACTTTAAAAATTTTTTTTATTTTCTAATTTTTATTAGCTAGTGTCTTCCTGTATTTAATACTTAGTCTCACTAGTTATTTTTCTCGCTTTCACCTTATAATTTCGAGTAATTACACTCTTAATATTACTGCATGTTTTATATTGTATTTTGCAATAATAATATTTTTTTTTTAATTTAATTTTTAACAGCTTTTTGTTAATATTAACTATTTCTAATATCTATTTTTAAATATTTGCCTATAAACATTTAATTTACAGGTGAAAAATAATTTCCAATAATAATTTTCTAAAATTGTATATAGTTTCGGGAAAAAAAAAAATAACAATAGAGTAACGTTTCATTGAAAAAAAACGAGAGAAATGTTCAAGTAAATAAAAGTAGATTATATGAAAATTATTTTATTTGATTTGGAATACGAAATTAGTTTCTAGAAAGCCCGTTAGTATTATAGTCAGTCTCTCATTTGAGAAACGTTGCTCGATTGTTGCGGATATAGACGAAATTTGCATAGAATGTAGCGTTGCAAAATTCGTAACGCACTCTTAACCCTCGACAAGAAAAAAAAAAGAGGAATAAAAAAAAAACTGTTATACTATATCGTTTGTCTATATGCTTCTCCCAGGAATCATCAGTTATTGAGAAAGCGAATGTTGTGGAGGAAAAAAATATTTGCCAAACGATTGTGCCAGTTGATCGCGAAGAAGTTACTGGAATACCATCATCGTCATCATCATCTTCATCATCATCATCATCCAATACATCAGAAGTGGAAATAGTTTCCGAGAGGAAGAATGAGGAATCTGAACCAGTTGATCAACAGGAGCCAGAAGTTATTTCCATTCCTTTGACTAGTGAAAAACATGAACGTCCATCGACTTTAAATTTTGTTGAAATTCATTCAACTGTTGAGATGTTTAGTCCATTGTCACATGGCTCAACACCGGTGAGAAAAACAGATTTTTTTTTTTATTTAAAAAAAATTTTAAGAGAAAATTGAATTTGTGTTTTCTGTTCTTTTTTGTAGATTTTACCTCTGAGTTTAACGAGCGATGAAGAAATAGTATCTGGTCTCGCCTTTCCTATGGGTCCACCAACAAGTGTTGAACCACCGAAAGAAAAACCACCACCGCCACCGATAGAACTCAGTGATGAAGAAAGTCATCCCGTTGAGCCTTTAAAGAGATTAAATTCCACTCGCAGAATAAAGAAGGAACTTAGAACCAGGCGCTCCGATTTCCTTGGAATTGGAGGAGTAAGTATTTTCAGAATTTCTTTATACTTGAATTACTTTAAAAACAATTTTTTATTGCAATTTTTCCCCTATTTTTTAAATCTGTTTTATAATTTAATTATTTCGTTTTTCTGTATTTTTTTTTTTTGTCGAAGTTGGAATATTTATAAAAAAAAAATAATTGTTGTACAGTTAAATACTGATGACGATTTGGAGCGTGAATTAATGCTGACGAAACCACCTGATATTGCATCGATTCTCGCTGAGGAAAGACGTATCGAGCAACTACATCGACGTTCCTATGATACTGACAGCAATTACGAACAGGATTCAAGTCATGAACGCGACTCGGGAGTGGAACTTGGCCACGTGGAAGATTGGACAAAACAGCCAGTGAGTCCCGATATATCGCAACACAGTCGACAGAGCAGTGAACCATTTGGAGCGAGTGTAACTTCCTCTGAGGAAGATGAAATTACAAAAAAAGAACGCGAAATTATTGAAGTCCTTGAAAAGGAAGAACAATGGCGTTACGGAAATAGTCGTGAATTAAATAGGTATCTTTTTTTTTACATTTCATTGCAAAAAAAAATTATTATTATTGTAATATAATTATTGTAAATTTTCTTTTTTTTTTGTTACAGTGACATTGGAGAAAAATTAGCTCATAAATTACGTGAATTGGAAGAGGAGAAAATGCAATTGGAACGTGAACGTTCTGCTCATGAAGCAGAGGAACAACGACGTCATGAAGAAACACTGAGAAAAAATGAAGAAAATATTCGTAAACAAGAGGAAATTATAAGAAAACAACAGCAACAAGAGGAAATTGTTCGACAAGAAGTTGCCGCACGAGCAGCGGAAGCAAAACGTTTAGAAGATGAAAGAAAAGATAAGGAACTTCGTATTCAAACGCAAGAGAAATTAAAAATTCAATCTGAAATTGTCGATAGTGAAAAGAAAAATTCGGAAAATCGCCGACAGGAGGAAATTATCGTTAGAAACGAAGTTCTTAAAATTAAACCAGAGGTGAGTTTTTTAAATACTGAATTTATTAAATATTAAAATTAAAATAAAAATTATAATTAAAATAAAATTTAAAATAAAAATTAATTACAGAACAAAACATTAATGGAGTACGACAATCAAAATGACGAGTTTTCCACAGGGGTAAGTTGATTTTTTTTTTTCTAATTCGTTTTTTTTTTTTTTTTAAAAAATTCGATGTTTAATTTATCTTTTTTTCTAAAAGGATGTACTTCGAGTTGAAAGAGAATTATTGCAACTGGAACAGGAGGAACTTCAGAGAAAACGAAATAATTTAGCGTATCAAGAGCAAAAGCAACAGCAATTGGCGCAACAACTTCAAGAACAATGGAAATCATTGCAAGATGTTGCCAATGGATCATCGAGAAATCAACAGTACAAACTTCAAACACCATTAAATTATCGATCATCAATGCCTAATCTTCAAATGCAAGATGTACAAAGAAGAAGACCGCCTCCACCTCCAATTCCTCCGGCAAAACCCATAAGAATCGTTGAACAAAGACAGAGGGACGTTCCAATCAGGTAAAAAAAAAATGAGCTCAAGGTCTCGAAAGAGAATGATTCATTTATTTCGCTAAAAGTGATATCATTTGAACAAAAAAAAAAAAAGTCTCGACAACAGGAAACTGTGCTAGTTTCCGCCGAGCCCATTTTATATTTGTCTTGCATAACAATCGAATACAACTTGAATCAATTGGAATGGAATTGATTTTAGTCGCTCGTTGGAAGATCATGTAGCAAATATAATTCCAATTTTGGAAATTAAATGTTAAAGTAAAATTAGTTTTGTTTTAAATTAATTTTTATTATTTCAATTAGTTTGATAAAAATGTAATTTTTTTTTAAAAATTAATTTCGAATTTTTTTTGTGATTATAGAAACAGTAGAATTCCTTCGGCGGATTCGATTCCGCAACAAGTTGATGCCTCAATTCGTCACAGTGCTTCGGCAACGATGTTGGCAAATCATTGCGGACAACAAATGACAAGACAGACATTGCATGCATTGAGCGCAGTTCCTCGTTCACGAATTGTTCAGGGCGATCAATGGGTTCAGAGAAGAAAAAGCGATGTGCCACGAGCAACGCAGGAATATAATTATCAACACTGGCTTATTCAGGTAAATTCATTTTTTTATTATAATAAATTAATTAACAATTAGTAAAAAAAAAAATTTACAATTAGTTATTATTTAACAATTTTCAGTAATTAATTAACAATTATTAGCAATAAAATTTTACAAAATTTAAATTATTTAGCATTATTGTAAATATCTTCAAAAATTAAATTATTTTCAAAACTGTAATTTTAAAATAAAATAATTCTTCGAAAATTGGATTACTTTTGAAATTTAAAAATCATTTAAACTAATGTCAAAACTTTCAATTGAAACTATTGGTAAATTGAATTATTTCTATTAAATACAAATAATTATAATTAATTATTATTTCAAAATAGTTTTTTTTAATTTTTAACAAAAATAATAATTCTATTAATTTTCTTTTAATTTGTGAAAATAAATATATAAATTTGATATCATCTTCAGGAAGCGGAACAAAGAAGAATTAATGAGAAAAATCAACGATCACCAGTTCGAAAATCACAACCACACGTCACAGGAACTTCTGTGCCATATAATACTCCATCTCCAAGGGCAGATAGTAAACCACTACCAGATTCAATTATTCAAACACTCACACAAAGAGTACAAGCTAGAGCACAGGAAAAGCCTATTCCGCCTAGACGAAGGTAAATTTGAATATTTTTTTTTTTTGTTTTTTTTTTTTCTATATTGAATTCAAATAATTTACCGAAAAAAAATTAATTTCTGAGAAAACGAAACATTTTTTTAAAAAATTCAACATTTATTGTAATTAAATTAATTAATAATTGTAATTAAATATTTTTGAAAATTCGTTTTATTTTAGACTAGAGCAGCCTACGAGTCAGGAACTTATTCAAAAGCAGTATGTAATACAGCCGCAAAAAACGAATCAAACTCAAAATAGTGTCGATTCACAGGAAAAGATGCTGAGCGTCTCTGGAAAGAAAAAATGCTCCCATTGCGGAGATGAATTAGGTAAGAACTTGAAAATTTTTTTTCTTAGTTGTAACATATAAATTCATGTCCGAATTTTTTATATCGAAAATAATTGTATGCAAATATTTAATTGATTTCAATGTAGGATTCAGAAAAAAAAGAAATGTTAAATTAAAAAAAAAAATTCTTTCCAGGCCGAGGAGCAGCGATGATAATTGAAAGTCTTCGGCTATTTTACCATATGGAATGCTTCAAATGCTGCGTCTGTCATGTTCGCCTCGGGGACGGTCTAATGGGAACTGACGTACGAGTTCGCAATCATAAACTTCACTGCCATAACTGCTACTCCAGTGATGACGGTACAAAAATAATTTTTAATCTATTATATAATACAATTGATAAATATTATATTGCTAAATTGTATTGTATTTTTTTGAAATTTGAAAGGAGTGATTTTTTCATATATTTAATTTTTTTTTTAGGTGTCAAATTCAGCTGCGTGTAAAGAAAAAAATAATATATTGCGAGCTAATGGATCTTAAGCTAACTTGAATATAGCGAATCACGGCTATATTTTATAAGTTGTAGTAAAACCATTTAGTTACCTCGCCCTGGGAAACAGAACAGAAAAAAAAGGTGGCAAAGCCTCGCCTCCAATTGTGTAAATAAATTTTTTTTTGACGACCAAACAAATATCGGCAAATGCCGTTCTTCATTAACACATTTCTTTTATCATTTGTAAATAGCCTGTATTTATGTAATTAGATTTATAGAATTTAAGAAGAGTCGATATGAATTTTTTTTTCATTTTAAATTAGATGAGATGAAATGTACATTTTTGTATGATAATTTGTGATATTTATAAGTTTTTTTTTCTCCCTGAACGTGAATGTTAATAGCTTTCTTAAATCTAGAGAGTAACATTTTTTTCAATCAAATCTTGTATTAATCAACAATGTCGAGAATTTATTGTTACTCCTTTTTTTATAATTTTAAGTGCTGGTTATGTTGCACGTAATCTACAATTCGAAACCTTCTTTTATTTTTCGTTTTCTATTTAACAGAGGCAATTTTTTACTAATCGATTTTAATTCTTATTGTTTAACAAACTTCGAAACCTTGGAATCATAGAGCAAATAATCCTGTGTGAAATATTGTACGATACGTGTTTCGTGTTATCACAATGTCTAATTTTATATTAGCAATGAAAATAAATGTTTATTTTAGTCAGAAAAAAAAACAAACAAAAAGGATTTAATTATTTCTTCCTTTCTTTCTAAATTTAATTTAGTAATAAATTATTTTGAAACATAAATAAAGATAAAAACGTTTAGTATAATTATAGAATAAAGGTATTTTAGTAGAAAAAAAAAACAATTTGCCTTTTATAAATGATTTATTATGACCCTGTGTCAATTACCAAATGAAACAATTTAAAGATTGTGCATAGTTTGCTTGTGCTCAGGAGCATAGATTTTTTTTTTCTTTTTTATAAGCTTATAATTAAATATTCTTTCGTCGATAATTACATAATCTACATAGTGGAATGAAATTTTTTTTTTAATAATCTTATTTAAAATTCATGTTTATGTAAATATTTCTATTTTTTTCTGTACATTCACAATATTAATATTTTATCCGTGTTTTTTTTTTTGAACAATGCAAAGCTGTTAAAAGATTTTTTTCTATTTTATATATTTATTTATATAATTATATTTTTGAAACATAAAAAACAAATTGGCTCCTATTTGTCAATTTTAAACTAAATAATTTCTTGTTGCGTAATATATTATTTAAAAGCATTTAAATGCACACTCAAAGCTAATCATTTTCACAAAACAAATTGAAATATTCTCAAGGGAAATCCTCATGTGTTAACAATTTTTTATTTTCTAAAGTGAATAAATTTCATATATATAGTAATATTAAAAAATTCAAATTATTGTAAACAATTTTTTCTTAAATATTGTAATATAATAAAAATTTCAATTTTAAAATATTTCTCTTTAATTCAGTAAGTTTTATTAGAATTCTGCCAATGATAATTTTTTTCTCAATTCAGAACAAATTGTTTTGAGGACTAATATAAATTGAACACACATAATTTTAAGTCTAGATTTGTAAAATTAAAAATTAACATTAAAACTTCTTTAAAAATTAAAAAAATTATTTTTGTTTCATGATTCAATTAATAGATAAAAATAGAATAAAATGTTTAATTATATTCCATTAATTAAAAAAAAACTAAAATCTATAAAATATTTAATTATTTAATTTTAAAATAAAAATTTGTCAAAAGCGCTAGAAATAAATTAAAAATGAAATAAATAATTCTTATAAGTAATAACAATTGCGCTTGAATTATACTAATTTCTAGAAAATAAATATATATATATTTATGAAAAGCATCTTTGGCATTAGGAAATTGCGTAAAGATAAAGTCCCATTTTTTTTTTGGAGATGCCAGCTTGTACATACTTTGAAATGGAATAGAATGCACTCATGGTAATAATTTCGGCTCTCGTCCCGTTATTAATTTAAAAGATTATTATTTTTGTTTTTAAATATGAATCTTACTTTTTTTTAGTCTTAGGACTTGTTGATTGAAAAACGCTAGATGCTGACATCAGATTTTCTATATACTGTCCAAGAACTTGATTTTCACTTCTCAATTTTAAATTCTCTTCTTTTACACTATCTACCCTTTGCGATAAATCTAAAATAATTTAAATTATTTTAATTTCATTAAAGAATTAAACAAATTCAACTGGTAAAATTTATTAAAATTTTTTAATTAGATTAATTTACTAATAAACAAAATTTAATTTACCGTCTAATGTATTTTGAAGCTCCAAAACTTGTGATATAAGTCTTGTTTTCTCTTCCTGTTCATCTGGACTAATATCAGGATCTAAGCCTAAAAAAATATTTTTATTTAAACGTAAAGATTTTTAATTTTAAAAATTTATTTTATTAAAATAAAACCTACTGCTTGGACTACAGCTTCCATTAGTAAATGTCGATGGAATAGAATCCATACTACGACCGTGATTTAAAATATTTGATCTATTTGAATTTTCAATTTCCTCTTCTGGAATAATAACTGAAAAAATATATATAATCACATTTTAAATTTCTCTTTCATCCTTTACAGACTTCAATTAATTATTGAAAAAGAAAATCAATTCAAGTAATCTACAATTCAAATTTTAATTGAAAAATGTCATTACGAAAAAACATAACCTATAAACAAACAAAAAAAAAACTTAAAATCTACGATTTAAACAATTTTTATAACTTTAAAAAATAAAACACAATAGTAATTAAAAAGTACAAATGAAAATTTAAATAATTCGTAAAGGTTAAGGAATATTTAAACATGTGTAAAATGAAGATTTTAAAACTACTACTACCTTGTGGATCATCGTCAGCAAGTGGAATGCTGTTCATGTCATCTTGTAATTTAGCACTAGACAACATCGACGTAGACATCCTGGAGCCTCACCTTGTGTCAATAAGTACAATATATGAGAAAAATAATTCTTGAAATAATTTATACTTCCACAAAAAATTCACACTTAAGATTAAAAATCCAAAATTTCCAAATTCAAAAACCACAAAATTCTTCTTCTTTTGAAAGAATTTAAATCCTTTTAATTATTAACAATGACACATTAATTTATAACTGAATAAAAACACAATTTTCTTTTTTGACATAAACAGTCTTGTGTGTATTATCCGCCATTTGTCATTTTTATCGACACTTCGCCCTCTAACGGAAGTATTTTGAAACTTATTTACTTTGCTTTCAATTTTAACAATTAAATATTGAAATTTAATTATTTAAAACAAAAGAAATACAATTTTATGCCAAAGAATAAAAAAAATGAATTTTAAAAATTAAATAATGATTAATTATTGCTTATTTGTTTGTGAAACAAACATGAAATTAAAATAATTACATTCAGTGAAGTAGTTAGATTTTCTACCCAGTGTTTATTTTTCATCTTTTAATATAAATATAACAAACAGAATTAAACAGTTTTTAATATTTAAAATAATAAAAAATATTTTTGAATAATAATAATTAATTTTGATTGAATTTAAAAATAATAGAAGAAAAAATTAAATTATTTTTTTGAAAATAAAATTTTGAATTTCTACATACGGCACTGGTTTAGTTGAAATGTTTGCCGCGAGGGGCGCTGCTTGCAAATTCGTCGACCTGATGGCAACGCTCGAATTTACGGAAGGGCAAAGGACGCTGGCAGCCATGTTCATTTGTCAACGAACTGCAACGGACGTCAATCGGTCTCTCCAAGTCTTTCTGGCATTTTTCTTTTTTTTCTCGCCAAACATCAAATTCAACAAAAATATCAGTGTTTACGTGAATTTAAATTTTTTTTTAAAAACAATTTGTGCTTTTTAAGGAATACAAAAGCACGATGGCGTCCGCGGAATTTGAAAAGCGCAAGCGTGAAGAATACGAAATGCAGCTGTTTGGCTTTCATTCGAGAACCGTTTATGCGATCCGTAAGACGCCTTCTTCGTTTTGACTTTCCGCTATTTTGTGAATGCTTTTCAGATTTTATTGTTTGGAGCATTCTACCTGATGGATTATCACAAGTTTCAGTCGCTGGGCGAGTGGACTTTAGTTTCATGTGATATTTAATCATGACTAGAGTCACACTCGTCCAGCATTTGGAACACTTTCACCGCATTTTCTGGACGAAGACGATCACAAAGGCTGACGCTCTCTCATCTCTTGTAGCTTTCTCCTTTCTCTCAAACAGGCAATTTTTTTTTTTTTTTTCATCTCAGCCCGATAGCTTGGAAATCGACTACTTTTTCTTCTTTTCATATTTCTCAAAGTTTTAATCTTTTTTTCAATAAAAAAAAAAACATGATAATTTAAGTGAGAGAAAAGAGTCTTCCCCACGCTTGTCATCCAAGATCTGGTTTTTTTTTCTTGACCTTGGGTCACGCACAGTGAAACTCCTCGGTTTTTGCTAACTGAGTAACAAGTTTCCGCTTTTGTGAACTGAAATCTTCATTCTAGTCGAAAGTAATGCTCTCTTTGTTCTTTCATTCTCTTGAGAACAATTCTTTGTTTTCAGACTCATTTTCATTTTAAGATTTAATCTGCTATTATATTGCAAAAAAAAAAAAAAAAAATGCTAACAAAAAATTTTCTGAGGAGCAAATTAATACTGTTTTTTTTTGTATTGTTTTTAAATTTATGGAAAATACAAAAAGGAACGTGAATCTAATAAACATGTATACGTTTTTCAGTGAGAAAAGCTACTGAAGCCCATATTAAGTCAACGTGTTTAGCTTCATATAATTCAATTGCCAGTAAATATAATTTAAATGAAGAAAAAAAGGATATTTTAAAAAAAGAAATAAATGAATTAAAAAAACTCTACATGAAGAAAGCAGAACCAGAATTTGAAAATCTCCAGGTATTTTTTAAAAAGAAACTATTTTATTTCTGCTATTCATGAATTTGCTCTGAGAATCAACAGGTGGCTGCCAACGAATTAACCGTTACAAATTCCGAATAAAATAATAAAAGTTTTTGAATAATTTTAATTATGAAAAATTTTGAGAAGAAAAAAGAAAATTATTGGTTAAATTAAAAAAAAAAAAAAATTATATTAATAAATGCTGTTAAAATAATGATTTCTTGAAAACTTGAATGAGAAGCTGATATCCACCTGTTGCTTCATTGCTTGTATTTATATCGTCAGGTTAAAATCCCTTGATTTCAATCTAAACTTATTAAACTTTTTTTTAATTAATTCGAGAATATTTTTTATTTAAAACATTCCACTAATTTTATTATAATTAATTATAAATTTATAATTATATTAATAATTGTTAATTTAATTTTTTCTTTTTAGAAAATTGTTGAAAAATATATAAGAATACCGGACAATGTTTTGCTCGAGGAAGATAAATGCCAAGCAGTTCAATATTCAGATAAGGAAGTTGAAGAATTAAATGAAAAATTATTAAATCTGCAAAAAACATTGAAAAGGGTAATTGCTTTTTATATATATATATATATATATTATAAAAAAATATATATTTTTTAAAATCTTTCCACAAGAGAAGATATTGAAAAATTTTCATTAATTTAATTTACTATAAATAATAAATGGGGGAAAAAATTTCAAATTAAAGTCATAAATAGTTAATTTAATGTTTTCATTCAATTGCGATTAGAGGAAATTAAAATTTCTGTTTGTTTACAGGTACATATTCAAAGCACACTTCTTGATAAGGAAATTGAATCAATGAAGGGAATAGAAGAATTTTTAAATTTTGCAATGAACATTATTAATGATGCGGAGAAAGCTTTAAATATTTTTAAACCTGATAAAGAAATTGCGAGTTTAGTTGAAAAATATCAAATATTACATAAAAAAACTAATGATTTTTCATCAAAAACATTGAAACAGACGTATAATCCAAATATAGATTATATTCAAATAAAAGACTGCAATCTTGATGAGGATAATTAATTTTTTTTTAATTAAATAACAAAACAAAAAAAGTTCATGCAATTTATATAAAGTTTCTTTTTTTTTTTAATTCTCATCATTAATTTAATTTTGTTTTAATATTCATTGTATAATTTATATTTTTAATTTGTCTGTGACTTAATTTTTTTTTTGTTTAATATCTGTAAATACAAAATTGTAATATAATCAAGTTGTGTAAATATAATCTATGTTTTTTTTTTAAATTTAGTTTTATTAATTTCATTGTTAATTACTTTAATGCAATTCTATATTTAATATTTTTAGATTTCAAATTATTAAATGGTTGAAAATAAAGTTGTAATTTTAAAGAAGATGTGAATAAATAAATATTAAAAAAAAAATTATAATTATTGTGATAAATTCATTTATTTAATCAATTTTAATATAATAAAGATAATTAATTTTTAATAGTTTGCAAATTTTATATAAATTATTTCTATTTGTAAATAAATTTCAATCCTTTTTTAATCTGTATTTTTATCATTGTATCATTAAACAATTTTTTATTTTGTTTAAAATAAAAATTAATTTATACATTATAAAATGTCAAAATTATTGTAATTAATAAATAATAATAAAATTATTGAGCACAGTTTGAATAAAATTTAACCTGTTTAAAAATCTTTATTCATTTTAATAACTCATTTAAAAGTTTAAACTTTTTAGATTTTAAAATCCTTTAATAAATAAATAATAAATTAATTGACTTTTTAAAATTTTGAATTTCAGTAACTGAAATCACGTGACCGTTACTGTTTTGTTTTTCGGAACGCGCAATATCGATGAGTAATTTACGAAAATTCGTTTAATTGAATCAGTCGCAGAAATCGTTTGACAGTGCAAACAATAAAGTACGTAGAGATTGAAAATTTAATATAAAAATTATTTTTACATACCAAGAAGAGAAAAAATTATTACTTTTTTTTTATTAATCATTTCAGGACGTGATTATTTTTGATCTAGACGAAGATTTATTTATAACCTCAATTTTATTTGAAAATACAATCTAAAACCGTGCATTCGATAAATCTTATGTCGTGCCATCAATTTGAAAATTTTATTTCGATTGTTGATTTGTTTGTGTTTACCTGTGTACGTGAGAAATTTACTAGGAAAAAGAGACATTTTTCTGAGAAACCCTCTCCTCCATTTGATTCTCGTATCCTATTGGCTGAAAGCTTTCAACGTCGGTTAGGACATTAGAATTCTCTGTGTTTCCGTTTGAAGAAGACGCTTTTTTAAGACAAAGAAAAAACGACCTCGTGTTCGAGTTTTTTTTTTTGTAAATCAGTTTTCTCAATTTTTCTACAGTGTTAATTATATTGAAAATGTCTGATTGATAGTCTTTCCTCTCAGTAACTAATCTACTATTGTGTATTTCAACACCTGAAGATTTTTTCATCATCTGGAAGATTTTCTCATCAAAATGAATCAAGAAATATCTGATTTACAAACTGATATTCAAACTCAATATAAACTTCTTCAATTAATCGGTGAGTCGGAATTTGATATTATTCAAGAAAATGGACAAAGAAGACTCACGAGTCATGAGCTTGCAAATAATTTAATAGAACGTTCAAAGGGGAGTGAAGTTTTCTTGGGTCGTATACCTCGTAATTGTTATGAAGATGAAATTGTTCCTGTTTTACAAAAAGTGGGTAAATTATTAGAATTAAGATTAATGTTAGATTTTTCTGGTACCAATCGGGGTTTTGGTTTTGCTTTGTTTGAAGATTCAAAAACGGCACGACGCGCTTGTCAATTATTAAATAATTCTGAAATTCGCCCTGGACATCGTATTGGTGTGGTAAAGTCCATTGATAATTGTCGCCTTTTCTTCGGCGGTGTTCCCAAGGACAAAAGTAAGGGTGAATTTTTCGAAGAACTTAGCAAAATGTTAGATGGTATTACTGAAATTTACGTTTATCCCAACTCTGAAGATCGTACTCAAAATCGTGGTTTTATTTTCGTCGAATTCAGGGATCATAGATCAGCAGCGATGGCACGACGAAAATTAATCCCCGGAAGAGTTGTTTTATGGGATCATGATATTGCTGTTGATTGGGCTGATCCTGAACCTGGCGATCCCATCGATGAAGATATAATGCAAACGGTAAGTTTTTTTTGTATTTATATTTTTATTCATTAAACGAAAAATATTTTCAATTTCTGTCATTTTTATTTATTTAATCGTTTTTCGATTTTATTATTCGATATAAGTTATTTCAGGTTAGAAATTAAATTCGTATTTTAATTTAACGATTTTCTACGTTAAATAATGGATTTAAAAATGATTCTTTTAATTTTGTGATAATTTATATTTTTTTATTTAGTAAACGAAAAATATTTTCGATTTCTGACAATTTTTATTTAATCGTTTTTCGATTTTATTATTCGATATAAGTTATTTCAGGTTAGAAATTAAATTCGTATTTTAATTTAACGATTTTCTACGTTAAATAATGGATTTAAAAATGATTCTTTTAATTTTGTGATAATTAATAATTTTTTATTTAGTAAACGAAAAATATTTTCAAATTCTGTCAATTTTTATTTAATCGTTTTTTGATTTTATTATTTTATATAAATTATTTCAGATTAGAAATTAAATTCGTATTTTAATTTAATGATTTTCTACGTTAAATAATGGATTTAAAAATGATTCTTTCAATTTTGTGATTATTTATAATTTTTTATTTAGTAAACGAAAAATATTTTCGATTTCTGTCAGTTTTTATTTAACTAATCGTTTTTTTGATTTTATTATTTGATATAAATTATTTCAGATTAGAAATTAAATTCGTATTTTAATTTAACGATTTTCTACGTTAAATAATGGATTTAAAAATGATTCTATTAATTCTGTGAAAAATGATAATATTTTTTCCCTACAGAGATTATTTTGGAATATTATTGTAAACAGATCGCTACAAGATTGGATTTGTTTTATTTAGAAAGTGTTTAATGTGATTACGTTACGATTTGAAAAACTTGGTATTTTTTAATTTATTTACATTAGTTGATAATTCTTTTTAAATACTCTTTTCGATTTTATTTATTCAAATTGCCTTTAAAAGTTAATATAATAATGAAATTTATTAATTTAAATTTGATCTCTTTTTTTTTTATTAAACAGGTTTCAGCGCTTTTTATAAGAAATTTACCATTGGCAATGACTCAACAAAAGTTGAAAGACTTGATTGTAAAAGCGACGAATGTTCCAATTTTGAAAATAAAGAAGCTCAATCATTTCTCATTTGTTCATTATGAGACGCGTGAATTAGCGGAACTTGTTATGTCAATATTGATAAGTAAATTTTACAATTTTTCTTATTTTTAATTTCTTTTATAATTTTTTTTTTTTTTTGTATTAATTTTTGGAAACTTTTTTCAGAACCTGAAGGATTGGCAGAAAGTGAAGAATGGGAAATTCGTTGGGCAAAGCCAATTGGAGGTGTCAAGGATATTGAAAGACAGAGAAGAATTGCTGAAGCCTATGGTAAAACAATTGTATCGAAAAATATTGATAGTCCAAAATCCATAACGCATAAAAATCGATCTAAAGGAACGAATAAAACAATTAATACAGCTGAAAATTCAAATCTACCAAAGCACGATTACGCGCAAAGTTTACAAAAATTTGTAATGGAAAAATTAAATTCTCTATGCCATTTAGAATGTATTGAATCCTATGATCCTTTAGGATACATGTGTAAGGTTTGTATTCTATTTTTTAAACCTTTTTCAAATCTAAATTTTTCTTTAAAGAAAATAATTTGAATCCTTTTTTTTGTTTTCTGCAGATAACAATTGTTAAAGATAATCAAATAATTTTTCAACATTTGGGCGATGTACTGCCAACAATTCAAAAAGCAATTAACGTTGCAGCTCGAGCGATTTATCATAAATTAAGCACATCAACATGTAAATATCAAATTTTAATTAATTACTCTTTTTTTTTTTTAATTTATAAATTATTATTATTCTTATTTTAAAAAGGTGTTCCAGTTACAATTCCAGCGCCAATTGCAATGCCTCCACCGATGACAAATTATTTTTATCAACCGCCAATGAATCAGTGCAGGATTCCATTGAATCATACATTTTATGATACATCAATTGCTACCTGGCAAATGCAGGGGATTTCACTAGATGCTTAGTGGGAATTTTGATTTTTTTTTTTTCTTTTAAAAGCTACAAATCGTTTACAACGTAGAGATTTTTAAAAAGAATTAAGATTCTTTTTGATGGTATTTTTAAAGGAAAGTTTAACTTCAAAGAAACACGATTAATTGGGGGAGAAAGATGAATATTTTTTTACTCGTGCTTTCTATAATTTATTTATCGTCAATTTTTAGTTTAATTTTTATTAATTTTTTTTTTTTTTTTTGATAATTTTGAGTTAGGAATGTTACTTGTAATTTTATACTATTAGAATGTAAGTTTTTCGTATAGTTGGAAGTATTTAGAAAAAAGTTTAAAAAAACAATTTTTTTACGCGTTTTGATAACGTTTCTCTACGTTGAAAAAAAACAGTTAATAGCTTCAAGTCTCTTTTGATATTTTTTTTTGTGTATTTTTTTTAACTAAGTTAAAAAAAAAGTCTTCAAGTGTGAACACGTTTTAAACGTGTCTTTTTTTTCGATAATTCACATGTGTATTTTTATATCTCTTTTTTGTAAAGATTTCGCGTATTTTCAATACGTATCGATGGATTTTAAAAAAGAAGTATTTTTAAAATCGCCTGTTAAATTCTCCGGGGGTAGAGAATGTTTTTTTTTTTTTTATAAAAATCAGATTAGCTTTTAATTGAATTTTTCTACGTGTGTTAACTTTTAAACTTTAAAAGTTCTTGTATAGTTTTGTCCTTTTTGTAACTTTTAAATTTTTGACAATTATATTTGTATTTCAAAAGTTGTGAATGTGAAAATTATTTAATATTTCTAATTACTAATGTCAAACATGTTTATATTTAAAAGTAATGAAATGTTAATTTTTAAAATAATTTTTCCCAAGAAATTTGTATTAATTTTTCTATTTTGAATAAATCTAAACGATTTATTTTGCAAAAGAAAACTTTCTAATTTTATCTGATAAAACTGGAAATAATTTTTTTTCTATTTAAAAGAAAAAATGTTAATTAGGAGAAAAAAAGGTAAAATTTGTATTTTGTTAAATTTTTTAAATTGGCTTTTAATAATTTTCATCAATTTAATTTTCTTCTATTTCTCGAATGATAAATAAAATTTAATTTTGATTTTCAATTTTAGGAAAACGTTGAACAATAAAAGTTGTAAAGGTTTTATTGGCTTCTTTACTCACTTCATTTCGGAGAAAATTCATATGTGGCGCACTGCAGGACCATGACAATCACACCAGAAAGTATTTCCACTTGAGAGGATTCATTGAAACTTTTGAAATATTGAGGTAAACTTTAATAATTAATAATTTTCAAGATGGTTCACTATTTACAATTTATTTGTTTTGTGAAAAATTATTGTATTTTAATACAATTTACAAATCTAATTTTTGCAGGGAATTATTCATGTCGGATAAAATTAATTGAAATCCTTGAATTGATCTTCGCACAGTTATTTCGTCAATAACATCACTGACTTTTGAGCATTCAAGTAAATTATTAACTTCATTGTTACATAAAGCTGATGAATTCAATGAAGAAGGGGAATTTTCAAAAAATTCAACGGCAAAATTTAATAAATGTTGAACCTCACAATCCAAGACTTGTTCTTCAATAAATGCTCCATTTGAACAAATATTGATAACATTTTCAAACCAAGCCCAATCATTCTCAGCAGCGTTGTAACGAATAATTTGATAATCCAATTTTGTTTTGTAATCAGGACTTCTGTAAGTTAAATTTAAAAGAAAATTAAAATAAATTTAAACAAAAATTAATAAATTTTTTTTTCTGTTTCAGCTGTGAAAATTTTATTCAAGAAGAAAATTATAAAATGAAAGTTTACGTGTGAAATTTCGCCTTAGGGAATTCCATTGATCTGATGATACTACCGAGTCCTTCCACAGCATAACGAACACCATCAAAATCATTTTCAGGTACGTTACCCTTAGAACATTCTATTAATTTATTAGCTTCCGGAACGCATGGCGTGTAAGTTGAATTAAAATTTTCTTCAACAAACATAAATAATTTTTTAATTCCACAATTCATTAATTGATCATTAGAAATTTGTAATTCTGTTTCTTGACAATCTCTCAATGTTTTACTTAACCAATTCCAATTATCCCAATCGTCCTGATAATTTATATTTAAATCATCAAATCTTTTTGTCAACAACATTTGATATCTATTTGAAAAAAATTTCAATAAATAGATTTTTTTTTCCAAAAAAAAATTACTAAATAAAATTAAAAAAATTCAACTTACTCCCAATTGAGAGGATTTTTTCCAAATTTCACACGACGAAGATTCACTCTTGGTAATACATCACTTTGTAATCTATGAAGCATTCGATTAGAGACTGCTGAAATTTTATTATAATCAAAATAAAAATTTTCCAATTTATTCAAATTATAAATAATAAGATCGTCGATTACTTCAATTTTATTAAACGATACGTCCAAATATTTTAAATTTGGAATATTTTCCAAATAATTGTATTCCAATAAAATTAATTCATTTTCAGAGAGATCTAATTTTTCTAAATTTGATAAACCGTAAAATGCTTCTCGTTGTATTTTTCGAATTCCACAATTATTCATTGTTAATGAACGTAGAGATTGTTGATTTACAAAAGCTCTCCTTAAAAATTAAAATTATTATTATTATTATATAAATAGAAAAAAAAAATTTTAATTGCAAATATTTAATTTCTTACCTTTTAATTTGAAAAATATAAGAATTTTCAATTCTCAATGTTGTTAAATTTCTTGTTAATTTTTCTAAACAACTTTCTAGTGATCCAAATTTCATGCAAGTAAAATTTTCCCAATTTCCGGATATTATTCCTTGTGCAATAATTAACGAACTATTGATTAACAAAAGTATTAAAAAGTCGACCCGCATTTTGATGACTTTACTTGGAGTGAACTTTGTGATATAACTACGTCAATCTCTGAATAACTAATAATATATATATACCCGTGAGTCTATCGCTTCCTTTTTCTCATCTATTTCCTGTGTGATAAAACGACAAACATAAAAATAATACAAAAATTTTGGAATCACGTATTTTTTTCTATTAAAAAAAAAAAATTAATATGAAAAAGAAATTTACATTTCAATATTGTAAATAACATTTATTGTCTGTAAATTGCTCACAATAGATTATTTATACATAAATTATTTGTAATTATAATTAATAAATATTAAATGAAAATGAAAGTCAGTCTTGATAAATTGCAACTTAAAATAAAAATTAAAATCTAATAACAAACAATCGATTTTTAATTTTCTACATAGATTATTAAAATCTATTTGAAACATTATTCTACATATATTATTGTCATATAAACATTTTTATTATTTACACAAGAATCGAAGTTTATTTTTCCATTAGTGTAAATAGTTAATATTATTGTACATATTAATTAACATTTTCAAAAAGAAATAATAATGCCAATAGTTTAAATTAACTTCAATTTTCTACACTTATTTACAATTAAAAAAGAAAATTAATTTCATAAAATTCTTCACTACTATTTACATTAAATTACAAAATTCGAATTTTATAATTAAATGAATTTTTGATTATGCGTTATGGGTCCCTTAATTATTTTTTTCTTTTTGGATAAAATTAATTTAAAAATTAAATAAATAAAATACGGAATTTTTTTTTTTCATTTTCAATAAAAATAAATTAATAGAGTCAATAAAGTAACAATTAATCGTAGCCAGTTTAAAGAAAAATTTCCTAAAAATGTTGCATTATTATTATTGTTATTATACATATCAAAATCAACTGGTGGAAAATGAGCCGAAGCTGGCGAAAGTGCGGGATGTGAGGATGGGGGATTTAAAATTTTCGTTGCAACAGCTTTCGACAATTTTGTTCTTGGTGCTTGAATGCTATTATTATTATTATTATTATTTGACTTTTCAACTTTTCCAAGAAAATTTTGCGTCTTTTCTCTACCGAATGAATTCATATTATATTTTCTTCCATTTTTTTCATTAAGATTATATTTTTTATATCCATTTCCCGATGATGATAATTCAGTTGTTCGAATTGAAGCCGCCGTTGTTTTTTCCAAATGTAATTCTAAAATAATTCGTTTTTAATTAATTTTATTTAATTAATTAAATAATTATTAATTTTATTTAATTAATTAAATAATTATTAATATTATTTTTTTCAATTATTTAATTATTTATTTTACCTTGAAGTCCAATTGTTACTTGATCTTTTCCATGAGCATTTTCCGAAAAACATGAATATCTTCCAAAATCACTTAGCTTTAAATTTTTTATCGTTAAATTTGACTGAAAAGTGTAATCATTCACTTGGAATTCTTGTAAATTGTATTTTTCACTTGGTAATATTTTCTTGCCTGAAATATTAAAATCAAATTCATAAAAAAAAACATAAATTATTTTATTAAATTTATTATCAATTTAATCAATTAAATATTAATGTTTTTTTGAATTTCTTTTTTAATTTAATTACAAATATAAAATTATCTTACCGTTATCTTTGTACCAAACGTTCATTGATTTTGGTGATGATTCAACATAACATAGTAGGGATATATTTTTATCAATTGGTGCTGCTATTAATTGATTATCAATTGTTACTGTCGGTTTAACTGTAAAATAAAATTTTTTAAATAGTTTAAAAATAATAAATAAATAAATAATAAAGTTCAGAAATATTCGTTTATCATAAATTCATAATAATTATCATTTAATTGTTACAGGGAAATTATATTTGGGAGGAACGTCTATAAACTCAAGATTGATATTCAACTGAGAAGGAACAATTGGTTAATTGATTAATTATATCTAATTAGAATGCTTCCATTGTGAAGAGAAATTTCTACACCTAAAATTATCAAACACGAAATTCATCCTTTGTAAGTATCTTTTGGCATCATTAAAAACAGAAAAAAAAACGTTAATTAAAATTTTCATTTTGTAATTCGAATAAGCCTAAAAGAAAATTAATTTTTAAATTAATTTCTACAAAAGAATTTTTCAAATAAAACTAAAAAAATCAGTAAAAATGAAAATAGTAAAATATTTAAATAGAAAGTTTAAAAAAAAAAATGTTATTAAATAGATTTATAATCTGATAAAAGCGATATATACAAAAAGGTTATTTCTTACGAAGTAGCAGAAAATTGTTCGATCTATAAAATTCTTTTGCCGGATGGAAAATGATAATATCGAAACGACCAGCTGGGAATGTAAAACTTAATGAAATTTTTACTCACACAAAACGTTTACGTAATACCTCTTGCTGACCGAGGGAGGTATTCCATTCGATGCGATACAGAGATACGATCCCATCTCTTGTCTTAGGATACCCGTCAGGTGCAGCTGCTTACCATGGTGTATTTTCACGACTGGAAAATCATTAAAAAAATATTAGTTAGCCAGTATTTGTCTCTCATCTACTTTTTTTTTATATACGTAATTAATCATTTTTTCATTAAACACTTTTTTTTCCTCTGTGTACATTTTAAAAGCCCCCTTTATACACATTCATTGCATAAAATGAATAATTTTTTTTTTAGATCCAATTGTAATTAAATAATTAAATTTTATGCCGATATTTTTACATTTTTCATTGCAATTGCTTTTGTTAAGAAAAAAAATTGTAATATTTAATTTCTAAATAAATAAATTCTAAAATGTTTTAGAATTAAATATTACAATTAAATATATTTATATTTAATTAATTCTAAAATCTAAGTTTTAAATAATTTATTTTAAATAATTTTCTATTAAAAAAGTATTTAAATATATTAATTAATTAATTTTTTTACTAATAAATTTTTACTTTATAGATTTTATTTTTCTCCCTTGTGTACTTTTTACAAAATTTACAATTTTTTCTTTCCCACTAGTATATATATATGTATACATATTAATTTATTTAGATTTATTACAATAAATTAATTATCTAGTTAGTGTAAATTAATTTTTATGTTAAATTAAATAATAAATTTAAAAAATTCAGATTTTTAAAATGATTTTGATATATTTTTTTAATATTAAACATTTTTTTTTTTTTTTTTTTTTTCAGTCAATTTGTCCATGTAAAACATTTAGAGAGGCAAAATTTAATATTTAAGAACTTGAGTGATTTGATGAGAAAAGTGTATTAAAGTAAAGCAATCCATCATTCAAAAATGAAAATTTCATATATAAATATAAAACAAAGATCGTTTCATTATTCAATTTTTATGCTATGAAAAATACATTTTGTTTTTAAATAAAAGGAGCAATTTTGTTTTCATTTAAAATTTTAGAGAAATATTTTTTTTAATAATAAAAAATTGATTGATAATTTTTTTTTCTGTTTTGCTATAATTTTTTCGTATATCTATTTATAAGGAAAATTATTGTTTGCATTAATACCTTGTTGTTCTTTTTTATGTCTTAAAGTAATGTTCTTGCCATCCTCTCGGCGCCAAGTGATTTCCGGTTCAGGAGTTCCAGTAGCATTGCAACGGAGACGAATCTCACCTTTCTCCTCGGTTGTTAAACGGTCGGAATTCTCATCGAGATCCATTATATCCGGTGGAATTACAACATTCATGTAGCCGGTCTGCGCAAAAAAAAAAAAAGAAAAGAAAATTCAGTTAGTATCACAATATTTACTTTATTAATTCCTTTTTTTAATTTTATTTATTTTTAAATTTTATCATATTAAAATTCCAAATATTCGATTAAAAAAAAAACTGAGAGGATTTGTTTAAAAAGTTTCTTTTTTTTTTGTTCTTCATGAAAAACGGAATTGTATAAAGTGGAAAGAAACGATATTTTTCTATAGTTCTAATGAGAAAAGATTTCAACGATGGCCAAGACCACCTGTCTATTTGAAAAAGTTTTTACGTGAAAAACTTTCTCCATTCTATAAAGACGAAAAGCCGTTGCGCGAATCAAGTGGAAAACTATGTTTCCCATAATTGATATATATATGAATCGTGACTTGATTTTTTAAAAATCGATTTTTATTTCGTAAAATTTGCCTTTTTTTTCTTATTTTACAATTTTTAAATTGTCTTTATTAAAAAATCTTATTCAAAGTTCCTTATAGTGATTTTTTTATCCCGAGAAAAGTTTTCGAAAAATAAGAAAGGAAAATAAAAATTTGATTGCTGAAAAAGTTTACATTTCTCTAAAAAATACGAGAAGTTTTTAACTTTCTTTTTTTTTTCTTTAATTCAAAGACCTCAAAATATTATTATTCTTACTTTAAAAGTTGAAGGAGGGAAAAAAAAAGAAAAAACTAAAACGGTCGAAATTATACTTCTCGGCTTTTGTATAAACACTCAAACTTTGTGGAAACTTGCATGAAATGAGAATAATTTGAAAATTTTTTTTTTTTTTTGTGATTTAAAAAATTATTAAACTATTGAAAATAAAAGCTAATTTTAAAATAGAAAAAATTTTCCAATTGAAAATATATTAAATATAATATAATTTTATATTTGTTTGATAATTTGATTTTTTTTAGGATTCTAAAATGCTGTTAATGGGAAAAAGTTTTTCTCAGCAATGTTCTTCAATGATGTTGCTTGTCAGTTTAACGTTAGTAAGCTTTACTAACCTGACTTCTCATTGGATCGGTGTTAACTTGACACATATACGTGCCAGAATCATTCGCCTGGACATTGGCCACGTGCAGCTTCCACGTGTTAAATCCATTATGAGTGACTGACAGCCGCGGATTATGTGCAACCATGTGAGTATGAATAGCCAAAATTGCTCTCGAATCTGATTTTATCCAAGCAACCTGATAGAAAATTTTCTTTAACAGTTTTTATAATTTACAATTTTAATTCAAAACAATTATACAATCTAATTATAAAAAATTTCCATTTTTCGAATACAAAAGAAACATTTATTAATTTATAAATTATTAATTTAGAAATAGAATTTTTGAATGAAAAATAAATTGGAACGATTTTCAATGAAAAAAAAAGAATCCTAATTAGATTGATTCTTTTATAGAATCCACGTTTTCAAATTGCGGATAATAATTAAGAATTTACTCGTTTCTAATGAAACAATCGGTTCAATGATATTCAATCCAGCTTGTTATCGGTTTGAATTCGGATTTCTTGGCGGGAAAGAGGCCGTAATCCCTCTAACAAGAGACTTTGAATATAGCGTCGAATTCGTTGAAATTGGGAGATTGTTCTACAATCGTAAGACGTGAATAGAATTTTTTTTTTTTAAATTTAAAATTCTTTTCTTTCGCCTCCGACAAAACTGTTTTTAAAAATTCATACTCTAAAGTTCGATTTTAAATTAATTTAATAGAGAAAAAAATATTTAAAAAAAGAATTGAATGAATCGAATTTATTGTACGCAACGAAAATGCTGAGCATCTTGTGATATTCTGATTCAAGTCTCTTTTTTTCCCCTTTTTCTGCAATCAACAAACTAGACTTGCTGATTTCTGTTCTGTTCTTTTTTTTTTTTTATTTGACTTTCTCTTTTTTAAAAAGAAGCATTTCTAGACGAGCTAGAAAACGATCCCTGTAACGAGACGACTTCTTCTTATAAACTGAGTTACTCAAGTGTTCATTTTGAACAAAATTCAAAATAATTTCAAACTTCAAATAAAATACAATTAGTTCTATTATTTTTAATAGAAAATTTTTTTTAATCTTTCAAGAAAAAATTCCAATACTTAAAAGGTATTTTTATTCATTAAAAATTTTTTGTATTAAATAAAAAAAAATGGAATGTTTCAAATAGAATTTTAATATTTGATATGTACTTGTTAAATTTTTGGAAAAAAAAAGATATTACTTTGAAAAAAAAAAAAAATGCGATCGATTTAATTTTTGATACAATGGGACTGAATAAATTGAGTACACTCAACTTGCAGCTTTTCGACGATTGCTTTTTCAAATCGAAAGAGAAAATCGTGTCGACTGTTTGCAAAGCGAATTTTAGCGAAATATTCCGTTTATCAGTGCACTTTACATTTGCTTTATATATATGTGTATATATAAAATGACCATCACTAACATTCATTACAATTTATTGGGAGACTAGATTACCAAATGCGATAATTATCATTCGAAAATGAAATACAAAATCCGATTCAGTTTACAATAAGTATTAACGTTTGAAAATTCATCGCGCACATAAAAAATATTTATTCCCCTGACTGCAAATTTATAAATCTAGCAAATAACTCAATTTTTTCCAATTTTGTAATTTTTACAAATTAATTAATTGTATTACACTAAAAGAATTTTTAAATTAGTTTTTTCTCGATTTTATTCAAAAATTTATTATTATTTCACTTTTTAACTTTTTCAAGATTTACCATTTTTTTAAATTGCATTAAAAAAAAAAATAATAATTAATTACCTTGTAAGATTGAAGATGATTAACGACACAGGTAAAAACAACTTCCCGACCTTGTGGAACTGTGTAATTTCCAAGAGGCATTTGAAATTCCGGTTCAGGTTCAACCCTCGGCACTTCTGAACCTTCAGAAACTAAAAAAAAAAAAAACAAAAATTATTTCATAATTAGATTTTTCTTAGATTTATTTTCTCCATTGTTTGTAAAACAAAGTTTTACAATTTTTATTTCATAATTATTTTAATAATTTAAAAAAAATACATGACAAAAAGTTTATAAAAATAAGAATATTTTATATCATACAGTTTTATATTTCTGAATAATATTTAATTTCCCATTGTCGAGAAAATTGTGAATTAAAATCCTCTTTCACAAAAGGGAATTTTGTTTCATATCACATTTTTCAGCGTGAAAATAAATAATTTTTCATAGGATAAAAAAAAAAAAGAAAAATGTTTCAACAAAAACAATTATTTGTAATTTTATTTAGTTGGCGATGTCATTAAATTGAATTTTTAACTAAATATTAATATATATTCTTTTGTTGAAGGGTTTTTAATATGCTGAAGGGCTATGAACTTTGTCAGAAAAAATAGGGAGAGAGAGAATGAGAGAACATTTATTAAACATCGTTGAAACATTTTCTTTTTTCTTTTTTTTTTTTTTTATTACCACTGTTCAAAATATATTTTCGCTTCTCGAATTGATAAATCGAGATAGCCATTTTCCCTAGAGTCTCGACATTCAGAGATGAAACTAATATGTAACCTTGAAAAATGATGAAAGCTATTTATTTCCCAACATTTTTTGCTTTGCATTTCAAAAAAAAAAAATGAAATATCAAAAAAAAATTTCCTGCAAAGACAATTTTTTAATTAAATTATAATATTTTATCTTAATTTTCAAAAAAAAGACGATTCTGGTTTTTTAAATTATATAGATAAAGGAAAATTAGAAAATAATTTAGAAAATAAAATTAGAAAATAAATATTTACTTACCAATTAACAAATAAAGGAAGATAGGCAGCAGAAAGCAGATAATAATTTTATGTAAGGCCATTCCATAGGGCAAGCCATACGCCATACGACCTGTAAATTACAATAATTATTAATTTTTTTTATTTTAATTTATTAATTATTAATCATAGAAAAAAAAATAATAAAAAATAAAATAAAAATAAATAAAATAATTATTAATTTATAAAATTAATATGAAAACAATTAGATAAAAAATTTCCGATTAAAAATCGTTAAAAATTAACAATCAAAAAATGTAAAAATATTCCAGATGATAATAATAAAAAAATAAATATTATTTCCATTAGAATTTGAGAAGTGAAATTAAAAATTGAATTTTCAAAAGGTCAAGCGCCTATATAAGCAAAGATTATTTTGCGCATACGGAGCAGGTTTTCCTTTTCAAATCTATATATGAAAAGTATAAAGAACTTGAGGTGTAAGCCTTTCCTTTGAAAATTGTAACAACTTATACATATGCATACAGAAAATGTATATATATATATGAAAGTGTGAATATAGGAATAAGTTGAGCTTGCTGAAACAGTGATTTCCCCAACTGCTGCGACTCTGGTCTGTGAGCTTTTTGGGGATGGGTTTACTCCTGAATCGTGTGAATATTAACTCGACAGTTGGTCCTCACATAAACGGCAAACCGTTGATATATTCCAAACCCTCTTATATATATATATATATATATATATATATATTCCCATACTCCTTTTTAACACCACAAAAGATCATTCATTTGCTACCAAGCACTTTTAAAGCATCTGCTTAATTAAAATTAATTCTCACGTTTAATTAACAATTTTCCCTTCATATTTTTGCATGCAAAAAATTTTCCCTTTATATTTTATTGCATGCAAAAAAAAACTTTTTCCCTTAAAATAATTTTTAATTTCAATTTTTTCAATTAAAAAAAAAAAAAAAAAAAAATTTCCCCGATTTGTATTTTGAGCTGTAAAGTTTGAAAATTATGAAAATGATACTTGTGATCATTTATCAAGTATCGCTTCAGCATTTGATAATAATATCAAAATAATAATAATAATAATAATCAAACTGCGAATTATTATTTAAGCAAATATTTATTCTCAATATATTATTGTTTTGGATTTCTATTTCATTTATATATTTTATCGATCTTATTTTGTTCCCTTTTTTTAAATGAGAAATTAAAATTAATTTCAATGATAAATATAAGTGGGGCGCATGATTATTCCATTATAAAATTTGAATTTTTATTTTTAAGAATTTTATTAGAAATAATTATTTTTTAAAGGTAGTTTTATACTAATTTTTGTCTAACAAAATTTTTAGCTACCGAATTTTTGCCAGAATTTTATCGAATTTTTAAACGGCACAAATTTCAATTCATCGAATTTTAATTTGTCCGAATTTTAAATTTGCTCAAATTTTAATTTGCCCAAAGTTTAGTTTGTCCAAATTTTTATTTGTCCGAATTTTAAATTTGCTCAAATTTTAATTTGCCCGAAGTTTAGTTTGTCCAAATTTTTATTTGCCCGAAGTTTAGTTTGTCCAAATTTTAATTTGTCCGAATTTTAAATTTGCTCAAATTTTAATTTGCCCGAAGTTTAGTTTGTCCAAATTTTTATTTGTCCGAATTTTAATTTGCCTGAAGTTTAGTTTGTCCAAATTTTTATTTGTCCGAATTTTAAATTTGCACAAATTTTAATTTGCCCGAAGTTTAGTTTGTCCAAATTTTTTATTTGTCCGAATTTTAAATTTGCTCAAATTTTAATTTGCCCGAAGTTTAGTTTGTCCAAATTTTTATTTGTCCGAATTTTTAAGACGCCAAGTTTTCATTTTTGTCCAAAACTACAAACGTCCGAACAAAAAATCGACAGAAATATTTCGGCACAATTCAATTGATTGAGAATTTTGTTAAATTAAAATTCACATAAATTAAAATTCTTTTAAATAAAAAGTCATGTTAAAAAAAAAATGACAAAAATTCGGTAGCTTATTATTTCGTATTAAAAGATCTGTCAAGTTTTATATTGAAAATTAGAAATAATTATTTCTAATAAAAAAATAAATAAATAAAAATTAATGATTTTTAGTGAAAAATTCATGCACCACGAAAAAAAAATATTAATTTCAATGATAGATGATATTTCTCTTTTTTTTCCAGAATTCGTCACAATTGTTGAACGTCAAATAAATGAGATTGAAAGAAACTGATGGGTTGCGTCTAATATAAATTTTCGAGACGAATTTTTCGAATTCTTCAAGCCTATATATATATATATGAAGGTTCACTGGAGAAGTCAGGCTTAAGTTGAAGAGGAATCCTCAAGGGAGAAAGGAAACTTCCAAGAGCAAGTGCTTAAGTAAGTACATAAGTAAGCGTATAAGGAGGGGGATGCAGAAGGGGATGAGATGAAGTGAGAGAAAGAGAAAAAGACGATGATAAGGGTGAGAAGATGAGGTTGAGATACTGGTGAGTGTAGAAAGCGGCGCAAGGGAAGGAAAGAATGTGAATCGGGATCCTTCATGTTGAAGCGGGTCAGTTTAAGTCTCTGGGATTTCTTCTCTTCACAATGCCAAAGAAGAATAAAAGAAAGAAAGAAGAGTATCACCTATCCCGTTCATTTCATCAAGTTTGTCAATACCAGACTTTTTCACTTAAAACTGAAATCAGAACGGATTAAGGTACGAAATTCCAAGGGAACTATATTTGAAAAACAGAAATTAGATTCCTTTCATTTTAAAATTATTTTCTAAATTTTAAATATACATTATTATGAAATTTAAATTTATTGTAATAAAAAAAAATTACAATTTTATAATTCTAATAAAAATAATAATTTAAATTTATTTTTTTTACAGTCTAATGATGAATTTTCGATTTATTTTATAAAAAAATTTTGATCAAAGTAAAAATTCTAACTAAAAGAAGCTTTGAAGATTTAAAGGGATTAATTTCCCCTGTAATATCTAATATCTCGGGAGAGAGAGATCATGAGTCTTTCGCTCATATATATATATATATATGTGTGTGTATTATAATTACATCCAATGTCACTTAACGTAGCGGATCGTTATATGCTAAAATGCAACCCTATATGTTAGTTTCCTGTGAATTAACAGCATCTATTGTATTACTTGTGGATTATCCAAGAGTCGAGAGATTCAACCCAAAAGCCGGGCTAGAAACCCTATAAACTTGAATCTTATGAAGCTATATACAGATTCCTCATGCACAAGGGAAGAAGATTCTTCGCGAGTAAAGGATCGGCTGTAGTTGTTGAATCAGGATAGTTTGCAAACTTATTCGACGAAAACAACTAGTTTATAGAACGACGCTCTCTCTCCCTCTCTCTCTCTCTCTCTTGGAAATCCCCGAGATATTGAGATAATTAATATCGAACATTCGGGAAATTCAATTTTTTTTCCCTTTCAAATAAAAGTTTCAATTTGTAAAATTGTTACAGGAAAATTGCCTTAAAAATTCATTAAATTTTTTTAATTGACACAAATGATAATAAAAATTAATAATAAAGTTATATTAATAATTTTTATTTTTCTTATAGAAATTACTGAATATCTAAATCAATTCAGATTTAAAACTTGAAAGAAGTGATTAAATTAAAAATCTGTTATAATTTTTACAAAACCGGAAGACGAGGCTCGAGTCATTATACGTTTTTTATCTTTCTATTCTTAAAAGCGATTCTTTAACAATAAAAAGAATCAATCTTTGAAGGAGTGTATTATAACTTTTTTTTTTTTCGGGATCAGTGACTGATTTACAATGCTTGCTTCAAACATTGAATGCGCAAAATACTTTTCGCCAATGTGAGAATTTTCCACAGCCAACTTATCGTCATTTAAGCCTCTTGTGCCTCTCTTCATAAAAATGTAGTCTCTTCTTTTTTTTTTTTTTTACCACATCAATGTGACCCCGTTTTCACAGGAAACCGACATTTCCATAATCGTTTCCAATTGCAAATACCCGCAACATTTACAATCTTTTTAGATTCGTTTTGGCAAAAAAAAAGGTAATCTAAAATCAGCCCACTAAAATTTCCCAAAATTCAAGGCTTTTTCCCGATTTTTAAAAAATTTTCAAAATTTTTTCGATTGAGATTTTATTACATAATTTTAAATAAGCTTCTTTTGATTAGAATTTTTTTTTATTAAAAAAAAATCGAAAATTCGTCATTAGATCTGAGAAAAGAATAAATAAATTACTAATTATTACCTAATTTTTGTTTGGAAAAAATTTTTACTTTACAGTCATTTAATTTACATGATTTTTTAATTAAGAGAATTTTAATTTAACAGAATTTCCATTAAATCGAATTTTATGTGATTCGAATTTTTATTTGTACGAATTTTTAATTGATAAAATTTTTAAAAAGCCGAATTTTTAATTGATAGAATTTTTAATACGCCGAATTTGCATTTTTCCAAAATTACAATTGATCAATCATGATTTTCTTGATAATTTCCAATTGATCAAAATGTTATCTTTTTGTCGATTTTTTGTTCGGCCATTTGTAATTTCGGTCAAATGAAAAAATTCGGCGTCTTACAAAATTTGATCAATAGAAATTCGGACAAATTAAAAGTCGGTGAATTGGAATTTCTATCAGTTAAAAATTCGAATCACATAAAATTCCTATTAAATAAGAATTTTGTAAAATTAAAATTCAATTAAATTAAAATTAAATTAAAAATACTTAACAGAATTTCCATTAAATCGAATTTTATGTGATTCGAATTTTTATTTGTACGAATTTTTAATTGACAAAATTTTTAAAAAGCTGAATTTTAATTTGTTCGAATTTTTAATTGATAGAATTTTTAATACGCCGAATTTGCATTTTTCCAAAATTACAATTGATCAATCATGATTCTCTTGATAATTTCCAATTGATCAAAATTTACAAAAATTTCGCCGTTATCTTTTTGTCGATTTTTTGTTCGGCCATTTGTAATTTCGGTCAAATGAAAAAATTCGGCGTCTTACAAAATTTGATCAATAAAAATTCGTACAATTAAAAAAATTCGGACAAATTAAAAGTCGGTGAATTGGAATTTCTATCATTTAAAAATTCGAATCACATAAAATTCCGATTAAATAAGAATTTTGTTAAATTAAAATTCAATTAAATTAAAATTCTCTTAAACAAAAAGTCATGTAAATTAAATGACTAAAAGAAAAATTTTTTGTAGAAATTCGGTAGCTAAAAATTTTCTTAAGTAAAAATTCGTATAAAAAAAAAATTCTATCAAATGCTAATTCGAAAAACAAACGTCTATAAATAAATTATTGCTAATAAAATTCTTTAAATTGAAAAATCGAATTAATGATTATTATGTGATAATCATGCGCTCCGTAAAAATTGCATTTTTTTTTTTTTGTAATTGGAAAAGTGTTTGTCAGTAAGGAAATCTTTTAATGAAATTTTTCATCGAATCGAATTTTCATTGTCTAGATTGAAATTGTCTGAAATAGAAAGGATTTTTATTATTATTTTTTTTTTTTGTTATAGGAGTATTTTGAGAAAAGTTCTCGAGAATGTAGGTTTATGGATCACGTGAGTTTCCTGCACTTTCAAGGAAAATGGTGTGAGAGAGAGAGATTTCTTTTTATAAAGGACAATTCGTGAGTTTTTTTTTTTTTTTGCTTGAAAAACATTTTAATTCATTTTCAGTAAACATCGTCTCGTGAGTTGTAAGGATTTATGGTGTACCGGTGCAAATATGGAGTGTATGGGATTTCGTCGCGGTGTACGACTTTAGAGGGAGAATGCTGAAAGGGGTGCTTGAAAACGGAACCAACACAGGAAGCTCATTAAGTTACGCCCCGGGGTCTCGACTGCTGTTTTGTTGCAGTTTACTGCCCACTCCAACACCAAATCATAGCGTAAATAAGTCATACAATATAATTTCATAGATCTACGTATTTCCGATATCATTCAATCAAAAACAAAAAAAAAAAAAAAAAATCTCCCTACAATTAGTAAATCGCTTTTGTTTTTCCAATATTCAATAAACTTGAATAATGAAAACATACATTCAAATTCCTCCAATTTATTATAAATTCATATTTCTTTAGAAAATAATTTCTCAAAAAAATATTTCATGTGGAATAATTTTATTAAAAAAATGAATTTGAATAGAGAAATCGTGGAAAATAAAAATTTATCTTTAATAATAATTCATTGATATAAATGGAGAAAAGAATTTTCTTTTTGATAATTTGTCATTCTAGAAAGATTTTATTGCTATTATTATTATTATTTTTTTATATAATACTATTAGATTTATGATTATGAGAAAAGTTAATGTATTTTCTTTTTGATATATGGAAATTTTCTTTCTTTGAATAAAATAGAAAAACTTCCATTGATTTAAGGAAAAAAAATAATTTTGTTCGAAAATTCATTTTACATTTTCATGATTAATTATTGTTTTGTTAATGCAAATAATAGAGGATCATCAGTCAATCTCATGTTTATTGCCCCGATAAATGCATCTGTCAACCAAAATGCTAGATTCGTATATGAATCTGTTAATTATTTCGCTGTCATTTTACTAATTTTCTGCCTATACACATCTCTCTTGCTGTGGTCTCTGCACTAGTGAAACATATCCCCGTAAACTCAATTCTAATATTTGATCCAAACTTCTCCTAAATTTTTTTTTCACTAATTTACTTTATTATAATTTAAAAAAAAAATAATTTTGTTTGTTGACAAAAAAAAAAAAAATGAAACTATACGAACTTTAAATTTAATTTTATATTTTATAAAATATTACTTATTCAGGTACTTCAAGCTGAAAGGAATTCATGTAATTTACCGTGGGAATATTCAATGTATGGAAACCATGCAAGGAATTCTGGTAAAAGTTGGTAGAGTACCACAAAAGAGGGTGATATTGTCGATTTGTTCAGTTCAACTTGTCTCCTTGACAAGAACCCAATGATGTCAAATACTGTATAAAATACAAGTGTTCAACAAATAGAAAACTCCGTCTAAAGGTATAATATATTATATATATTCTTCATTCCAAAGGTTTTTGTTTTTATCTTCAATTGATATTTTTAAATTAATTTTTTTATCCATACGAAAAAATTTTTCAAATCTTTTTACAAGAAAAATTATAATTATTATTTAATAATCGTTAATAATAATAATAATAAAAATGAAAATAATAATAATTAATTTGTTGGTTCAAATGACAATTTGAAATTTAATTTTAAAAAAATAATTTCCTAGGATTCTGAGAGGATGATATTTTTTTTTTTTTTTTGTTTTTCCGGAAGAAATGTCGCGTCCTGCATGTCCTTGAGATTATTCCTTAATTTTCGAGTCTATTAGCTTTCAAACCATTTAACCGACTATCCACAGTCCAAAGCACAAGGCGCAGAACATCGCACATGTATTTCGCCCGACACAAGTTTAAACCCTATAACACTAAATACCACACACCATCTCTAACGTAATCATGCCAACTCGAGAGTTTCATAGTCCCCCAAAAGTTTATTATACCGCATGAGTAAATTTACAGCATTACTGTAATAATTAATATTAGAGCCAACGCGCTATCTTTCTATAGTTTAAAAAAAAATAAATATTTTACGCGAATTTAAATCTTTTTTTTTTCATTAACAAAAAAAGCAATACTTTCGAAATTCCAATTATCTAGAAACACTCTTTAAAAAATATACTCATTTAATTGTGTAATTAAACAAATTAAATAGTTGAATGTACGTAAGAGAAATAGATTTTTAATTTCGAGAAAATTTAATTTAATCCAACTATTTTTTTCAAAAAGAGAAAAATCTTTTTTCCATTTAAAAAAGAAAAGAAATTTCAACATCATTGAAAAGGAGAAATATTTTTCTAAATAAAAAAAAAAAATATTAATTTGGCATCAAGAATTGGTAATTCAATTTTATTAAAATAAAATATATTTGCAAATAAAAAATATTTTTAAAAATTTTATATTTCTCTCTAAAACATTTTTGTTCAGAAAAAATTAATTTTAACAAATAAAATGAAAATTAGTATAAAATTATTAATTTACTCACCGCACGCGTCCGCGTGACAAAAGTTTAGAAGAAGAATAAATTCAGTGAAATCAGCAAATACATAATAACTGTTGCGCAAAAACTTATATTTATTATATTGAGAAAAGGGGGATGAAATTCGAAAGCATTCGGGAAATTAAATTCCGATCTCGATCACGACGCGAATGCAACTGTGATCCGCATCCTCGAGAATCTCCCTTTTATCGTTTCCCGCTTTCTCTCTCTCTCTCTCTCTCTCGCTCTTTCCTCTCATACTCCGCGTGTGTTCGACATTACGCCGACTCTTACTACTTGTTTGCAAATAATTGTTATTTTGCGCAGCCAATTATTACATCACTAATTGAACCACAATTGATTAATATTGTTTCATTATAAACAATTTTTCTTTTTTTTTTCAATTATCACAATTATAAACTTGTAGAATTTTCATGTAACTTTTTCAATTAAAGTTTTCTTTTTTAAAAATTCAAATTTCATTATTATTATTATTACTGGTGCATTATTTATCCCATATAGAAATTATTTATTAGAATTTTTATTTTCAAGAATTTGATAGAATTTTTTTATACAAATTTTTACTTAACATAATTTTTATCTGTGGAATTTTTGTTTGGCAGAATTTTTATTTTCTAATCATTTTTTTTTTCATGATTTTTTTATTTAAAAGAATTTTAATTCTGGCAAACAAAAATTCGGTAGCAAAAAAATTTGTTATGTAAAAATTCGTATAAAAAGAATTGAATTTCTTTTGGAAAATTTGTCCAAAAAAAAATAACTATTTTTAACAAAATACTTTAAAATAAAAATTATAATTAATGATTTTTATGGGAAATTCATGCGCCTTTTATTATTATTATTATTATTATTAAATAATTTATAGATAGATATTGTCAATAATCAATTATGCACTGAAAAAAATTATTTATAAATAATCGGTTGACTATTATTTATTATTAATTAAATATTTGATAAAATTTAGTAACATTTGAATCAAATAATTTTATTTTACTGTAATACTTATAAAAAAAATAAATATAATAATGAAAACTATCGATAAAATAATTTAAAATAACTGTTTTTTTAAATTTATTTTTTTTCGCAAATAATTATAGCAGAACTAAAATTGTGTGCTCTCTATTTTAGAAAATTTCAAACATTTCCTATATATCTTTTACAAAATATCAAACGATAAGAAAATTTCCCCCGAAAGATAATAAAAATTGGAGATGATAAGAAATTCTTTTTATCAACCAGTAAGAATTTATCGCGCCACTGATATAAGGGATGTTTTTCTACATTATCGACTATCTAAAGGGTAGGAAAAAAAATATATATAATAATTATTTTACTTATTTTTTTAAATCAATTACAATAAATAAGAAAAAAATACACATCAGATTTAAAAAAAAAAAAAATTATCCTTGCTGATAAAGTAAACTGTATCTAATTATCAAAATAGAGAATGAAATATCTAGAGGGCCACAGAATAGGGCGGCAGTTTAAGCGCAAACGCAAAATAGTTTTCTCATCACATTGTGAAAATTCAACTCAGTATCCAGGAAGCTGCGAGCGCTTTCATTCAAAAGAGATATACGCGTTTTTCAATTTCTATCTCGGAAATTGTTTTTTCATTATGCCTTTAAATTGATCATCAAAATAATTGTGTTAAATAATATTGTTCCCAAAAAATCGTAAGATATTATTGTGCAAAATAATTTAAAAAAAAAAAAAAAAATTATAGTGATTTTTTTATACTCTTTCAATTTTTAAATAAAAATTTAAATTTCAACTAAAAAAAATGAAATGCAATTGAAATTTTCTAAAAAAAAACTTTAAACACACAATTTTAAAAATATTGATAACTTGTCAATTATTCAGATTATAAAAATTATAAATTATTAAAATTATTACAATTTTCCTACGAAAAATATTTTTTACTATATTCCGAATAAATTTTCTACAAAAACTAATTAATAATTTAAATTAGTAAATTTTTTATTTATTATTTTAAATCCTTTTTTTATTATTAAATAAATTCATTTAATTAATTACTTTTAAAATCCTTTTTTTTTAAATTTAATTGTTGCGCTGAATTTCGTTACAGTAGAAAATTTAATCAATTTAATGGAATTTTGTTAAATTCATTGAATCTCAAAATACATCAATTAATCTTTATTGATAAAATTCATATATATATAAAAGTCTTGAAAAAATATTTTTTAAACAAAATATGTGAAAAAAGAACTTTTATCAAATATATTTTTTCAAAAAGATATTCAAAGTAATTTATTATAAATTTTTGAGATGATAAATTTAAAAACAAAAAAATCCCGTAAACAAAAGTTTAATTTAAAAAACAATTCTCAAAAGACATTTCATTAAAATTAAATCAACGCTTTAATGAGTCAATTTTTCTTCTCATTAAATTGCAAAAAACTAAAAACAAAAAAGAAAAATTCAATTTCTATCTAAGAAAACTGCTCTCTAATTCTCTCTTTTACTAAATCAGACACTAATTTCAATTAAAATTCAAGTTCTACGAAGAATTTCTTTTCATTAAATGAAAAATTACTGACCTACAGAGACAATCCTTTCCATTTTTTTTCAACGAGAAAATAAATTAAGGAAAAATCATTCCAGAGGAAAATAGTAATAATAATAATAATAATATTAATTATAATTATAATAAAAATAATAATATAAAATAATAATTATAAATAAAATAGTTTCTTGGATTTAATTTAACAGATTTCTTTTGAATAAGACATTTGATTTGTTTTCTTTTTTTTTAATATAATTTTCTTCAGTATCATAATAATCTCTTTATACGATTATGGATGGGATTTTAGTGGTTTTCTTGGTGAGAGAAATCGGATCTTCGTGACCCACGATTTGAGGCTAATGGCGGTCGATATATCCGGCAAATCCCCCGACGATCGAAAGATAAAGGACCTTCCTTACTGGAGGATGCTCGACGTTAGCCGAGATATTAATTGTGACCGATAACGCTGTAAATCGTACCACCTTCATTCCTCCTTTTCATCCTCTTCCTCATTTTCCCCCCATCAACCCTTTCCCCTTCAAAAAAAAAAAAAAAAAAAAATTCGCCTACTGTTGTTAAACTCATTTGTAAAAAAGACGCCTTCGCGCGACGAAAAAAAAAAGAAGAGGATTTTAAAGATTTCCTCTTCTTTATCAATTTGTGTATATTTGTGTATGTGTGTGTGTGTGTGCGTGGTGTAAAGTCAGAGGATTAAGATGAATCGAATTCATTTGTAAAATGGCATCACTCCCCCGTGTGGTTCTCGTGTTGTTGGGAATTGCTTACCTGTTACGCGCAGATTCATCATTCGACAATGACATTATGGGTATGTCACTGTTATTTAAATTTTAGAAAATAAAAATTTTTTTTTTTAATATTTCCTTATTATTTTGTAATTAATTTAAATTTTATTTTTATAATTGTGCTTTTAACATATTTTATTCCTAAACAATGATTCAGAATCGAATTTTTATTAAATATACAAAAATAATTGATATTCAATTTTAATTAGAATTATTTTTAAAAAAAGAAACGTGACTCGATTATTGCTAAAAGAAATTAAATTAGAAAAAAAAACTTGACACAGTAAATAATAAAAATAAATTAATAATAATAAAATAATAGTAAAAAAAATAGTAAATAATAAAAAAAATAAAAATAATTTTTTGATTAACTTTATACAGGGAAAAAAAATCTTTATCTGAAACAGCTATATGTTTCTCTAGAATAGCGAAAATTTTCGCTGTTCCAGGTGAAGAGTTTTTCCCGTGTATTATTAAAATTTTCCTTTCAATAAGAAATTATGAATTATTTATTTATATGCATTTTCTGGCAAAAAAAAAAAACGAAAAAAACGCCGATTAATTAATTAAATTTTTTTTAAAAATATTTACTAAGAAATAACTTGAAAAACTTTTAATGACGATATAAATTTATCTTTAAAAAAATAGAAAACCAAATATTAAATGAAGATAAATTTTTGAATAATATATTTTAATAATCAAATAACAACAATTTTCTTCAGTAAACTCGAAAAAGAAATTATCGTTTAATAAATTTTTTTTTTTACTAAATTTCCTTATATTTAAAAGTTTCTCAATTTAATATATTATACACAACTTTCCAAATTATTTTCAATAAAGGTTTTCAAATTAAATTCAGAATAAAAACTTTTTTTTTTTTACAAAAATTAATAGTGTAGTAAAAATCACGTTTCGCTTGGTTTATTAAAGTTTTCATCTTTTTTTTTCTTTTTTAATCATTATTTTTAAAATTGAAGAAATTGAAAAAGAAAAAAAAATAAATTTTCATATATATTTAAACGTTTATGAAAAATTGTTTTTCTATAAAGTTCGAGCGAGAGATTACTTTTAGACGAGAGAGAGAGAGAGAGAGAGAGAGACTTAATTTAGTAGTTTTAAAAGAAAATCTTACACGCGGGGGAATCTTTTTTATTATGTATTCACTCGCACGAGAGATGGAAAAATATTTGATCTTCCCACCTAGAAAAATTCTTTAAATAATTTATGAAGTATTCCTGAAAAAATATTCATTTAAAATTATATATGCTTTTTCGAAGGTAATTCTATTTTTCTTTTCTCTTTTTTTTTTTTTTTTTTTTTTTTTTTTTTTTTTTTTTTTTTTTTTTTTTTTTTTTTTTTTTTTTTTTTTATTAGAAATATTTAAATTATAAAATTTTTTAATCCCTTATACAAATTTTAATTGCTTTCGAATAATTTTCACATTACATTTTAATTTATATCGCATATATTGTTAATTAAATTTCTGTTTGAAATTAAACCAAATAATGTTTTTAAAAAATAAACGATAAAATAAATTTAGTTGAAGTGTGTAATCAATATTTGTTGGATTATAATAAAAAATTAATTATTTATGGAAAAAAGTATGTTATATAGCTTAATCTTTTGTATATTCAGTAGTAATCGTTAATTTTAGTCAGACACACAGAGTACCTATAAATTTATTATTATTTACTGTAATTATTTTTTTGTCTTTTTTATTAGCAAAAATTTAATTAATTATTGATATTTTCATTAATTAATTAGTTATAGTTATAAATGTGATTAGTTACAAATATTAGTTAACTTGTTAATTAAATACACGAATATAACTTCAGTCAAGATGTAACTTCTGACACTCTTGATTTCCCGGTTATAATAATTGTATTTAGAGAATTTAATCAAATAGCAAATTTAAAATTTATTTCTATAAATAAATTTTTTAATTTTATTTTTATTTTTTTAATTTTTATTTATTATTATTATTATTATTATTATTATTATTATTCGGTAATTATTGTAACCGATTATTTCAATTAAATAAAAAAATTTGTTGATTTAAAAAGATTTTTAAAGATTTTTTTCAAAAATTGTTTTGAATTAAATAACAAATTGTTTTATAAATCTTCTTTAGAAAAAAAAACTATAAAATTTCTGGTATGCTTTTTATGTTATTATATAGAATTATATAGGAGAGTATTGAGTTTTCAAAGAAATTATTTTCATTTTGATGGATTTCCGGTATCCTTTATATATATATATACTTCACAAGATTCATTTACATAATTATTTAAAACAGATTTTCATTTCCCACGTGAATAATTTTACATATATTTCATTATAAATTGAAACGAATATTATGAACATAAGGAAAGCTGATTTCAGCTGGTCTAAGCATACCTGATGACTATGATGAAAGTAAGGAAGATAATACAGATGGCGATGATGAAAGATATACAACGCGAATGTCAAAAAATCTCGTTCAAGAGGTGACAGCAATTGTTGGTCAAATTACAACTCTTTTATGTAATTTCGAGGATCCAGGAAATCGAACTGTAAGCAAATAAATAAAAAAAACAATTATTCTAATTAAATTTTTATAATATTTATTTATAATAAATAATAATAAAGAAAAAAATATATTATATTTAATTAATAATTATTGAAATATAATTTTAAATTAATAATAAATTAAGTGGAAATTAAAATAGAAATTTATATTTTTATTTTTAATTCAGGTATCTTGGATAAGAAAAAAAGATTTACAGATATTGACATCAATGTACATTACATATACTAGTGATGTAAGATTTAAAATTATTACAAATATAAGTTATACGCCAGCGCAAGAAAATTCCAGTATCTGGAATCTTCAAATAGATAATGTCCAGCCGAGGGATGAGGGTATTTATGAATGTCAACTTAGTACGGAGCCCAAAATACACAAAGCTATTTATCTTAAAATTTTAGGTAAGAAATATAAAATTATGTGCAAAAAAAAAATTTAATAATTTATAAAAATTCTATAAGTAAAATAACAAAAAAAAAAATTAAATATATATTTTTTTAAATTTTATATTTAATAACAATTATACAATTTAATTTTTTTAGTTCTAAAATTGTAAAAAAAAAATATAAATAAAATAATGAACTAAAAAAATAAAAACAGTGAAATTCGACAATGTTTTAATTTTTTAATTATTGTTTTTTAGACGTCCAAGCTAAAATTTTGGGTCCCGAGGAAGTTTTTGTGAAAAAAGGCAGTACAATCAGTCTAACTTGCATTGTTAATGCACAAGACATTGCACCAAGTAACGTAACTTGGTGGCACGCTGGATTTATCATTGACTTCGACAGTCCCAGGTGAGAGTAATTTGTTTTCACATTTTTTTTTTTTAATTTATTAACTAATAGTAATTTTTTTTCCAAATATTCGCCTTTCAAAATAATTCAAAGTATTTTTTTTTTAATATTTAATTTTTCAAAAAAATGTTCCGTTTCGCGAAAAATATTTAAATAAAAGGAAAAAAAAAATAAGAAAATTATTTTTGTTTTTTCACCAAAGAAGCGATTATATTCAAATATTTACACTTAGTTTTGGATTCTCTGCTCTCTTCCACTGTGGGATTTGTTTCTCAACAAAGTTTTGAAAATGTGAAGTGTATAGTTGAAAGTTTCTGATTGGCAGTGAAATAAAAAAAAAAAAAAAAAAAAAGGAAACAAAAAACATTTCCAGTACATGCACTTTGGAGAACTATATAGATATATACTTTTAAAAAACTCAATTCATCAGTGTAGCCTTCTTGAAAACTTTTCACGTCACAGAGTATTTTTTTCCTTTCAAGAGTTATAATTATTTACAAAGATAATGATAATAATAATAATAATAATAATAATAATAATAATAATAATAATAATAATGACGATAATAATTAAAATAATAATAATAGCACTTCCAATTGGAAATTTTGTTAACAAGTAACTAGTAATACCATTTGAAATCTGTTATATTTAGTGTGTTCATTGTAAATTCATTATCTAAATTAAACTCCATGTTTAACTAAATTTTCAATAATAATAATAATTAATCTGTTTATTCAATTAATCAAATTTTGTCCATTTAGTATTGAAAATCCTTATTTAAAAATAATTTAAAAATAATTTTTCCCCTAAAAAAAAAAGGAGAATCAAATTTGCAATAATTATATAAAAATTAATTAAAAATAGAAAACATTACATTTTTTAATTCAATTTATATAAAACTCACATTATAAACGAATTAAAAACGAAATTACAAAAATTGAATACTTAATTTTTATTCCACAATTATAAAGTGAAAAAAAAAAATTCGTTAACATCGATAAAATACAGCATAGTATAAAAAAAAAAATTCAAAATAATTTCCAATTAAAAAAAAATTGTAATAAACTCAAGAAAAAATAATATAATCAATTTTTTTTGTTTGTTAATTTTTCTAATTTATAAAGTTAATTTTTGTATGAAAAAAAATAAATAATTTTGTTAATTTTTCTAATTAATGGAGTTAATAAAAAAAAAAAAATCTTTTAACAGAGGGGGAGTATCGTTGGAGACAGAGAAGGCCAAAGGTGGAACGACGAGCAAGTTGCTGATAACGCGTGCTTCTCTCAATGACAGCGGTAATTATACTTGTGTCTCAAGTAAAGCAGCACCTGCAAGTGTCATTGTTCACGTATTAAACGGTAAGGATTTTCAAAGACTTTGTCAACTATATTCATATATATAGTATATATATATATATCTGTGTTTTGAAACTTCAAAGAGAATGTTCATTAAAGAAAATCACATAATTTGAATAATCTCAAGAGATATAAAATGAAAAAGATTTCCATTAAAAATGAAAGCTTTAATTAGATATTTTATTCCACAACTAATCATTGCATCTTTTTACTTCCTTCAACTTCTTTTTTTTATATATATATAAGGTCCTTTGTGAAAAGAACCTTCTTCTTTTGAGGATCTTTCAATTTGGTGCTAGCTCTCTCTCTCTCTCTTTTAGTTTCAAAAGCATCAAATTGGAGCGCTCATCATTCAAGAACTTTTAACTTTTTTTTTTTTTCTTATAATGATGTCTCCATAATTTAAATATATATTTTTTTCAAATAATCAAAAAAAAAAAAATTCTCTTTTTATGATTATAAAATGTCAATAATTGAAAAATAAATAAATTTTAATTCATCCAGTGAATAAATTAACTTGAAAATTAACTTTTTGAATATATCAGAAATTAACTTTCTTTAAGATGGAAAATTTTAATTCATTTCAAATAGTTAATTTAAAATTGAACGGCAAATTTAAATGTGATTTCTTTGGTGAGATAAATTTTGAATTTTATCGTATGAAAAGAATTTTAATTTGATCAATATTTTTTTTTCTCTGCGCTTTTACTTCTTATAGGTGAACATCCAGCGGCAATGCAGCACGGTGGAGGAAATAAGCTCATCTTAAGGACATTTTCGATCAGCCTCACTCTCATTTTGACTCTAGTAAGATAAACGATCTCTTATTAAAACAAAAAAAACAATTGCGCGCATAAAAAAAAACTGATTGTGTGTGTGTGTGTGTAAAGTTATTGTATAGTGTACTATATTACTGACTATATTAATTTATAATACAAAAAAAAAATTTCATATATATAGAATAATTTTCATGTACCATTTCAAATTAAGAGAGACTGATATTGCAAAACAAAAAAAAAATGAATAATCATTAATTAAAATCATTTTTCAACAAGAGTATATATATATAAAAAATTCTTTCATTTAAAAACATTTTTTCTTTTGTCTATAAAAAAATTTTCCAAATGTCAATATTAGAAAAAAAAAGAATCGTTAAAGTTTTCTTTTGAAATTTCGAGAAATTTTTATATTCATATATCAATATATATATATATATATATATATATTTGTGCTGTTTATTATTGTTTACGATTTTTTCATAAATATAACATATGTATATCGTTAGAATTGTATATTTGTAATCCTGACAATTTTTTTTTTAGTAATTATATTTTTATCATCGATTTCATGCTCGTAAAAATTCATACATGGTGAAATAAAAAGAAAAAAGAAACAAATTTTCTTTTTTTTTCCATGAAAAGAATTTCATTCGCAATTGTCATTATCATAAAAGATTCATTTGATGCGCAATAAGCCTCACTTGAGTTTTAGAACAATTTCTGATTTTTCTTTTTCTTTCTTTCTTTTTTTTTTTATTTTCTCTTAAATAACGTTAATGTAAAAATGGGTTGAGATCGACATGCATTCTCACACAAGAGTTCTGTGAAAGTAGGCAATATAATCGTTTTACTCGAACAGAACATTCTCGCGTTTACGAGAGACGATGGATATCTCTGTTAACGACGTACTTTTTTTCTTCTTCCTCCATCCGCAGTTTTACAACAGAAGCGTGAGCTTCTTTTTCGCGTTTCAAAACGGTACTAATCGACAATTTTTTTTAATTTTTAAAAACTTAGTATTTTTTCAAAAAAAAAGGAGGAAAAGGATTTTTTTTTAATTTCATTTCCGATTTGTTAACAAAATTTTATAATTAATATTTGTAATATAGTTCAATATTTGTCACAAAATCATATAAATTAATTATTTACATCAAAATAAATATTTATTTGCTTCACATAAATATTTATTTTAAATAAATTTTATTTGAATTAATTAAAAAATGTTATTTGTGTTAAATAAAATTTTATTTGTTTTAAACAAATTATTATGAAAATAAACAATTTCACTAATTTTCTATAAATAAAAATTATTCCTTTTTGATAATCTACGAAAAAAAAAAAAAATTCGATAATGATAATGAAAAAAAAAAAATGTATACTATTCACTTTTTTTTTAGTCCGATAAAAAAACGAATTTAGAAAAAAATCACATATTACTTTTGAAACACGATATCTATTTTTATATAAATATTTCGTTCTTTTTTTTCTTTGAATTCGTTTACAGGAGAAATATTTTAATAAAAAGCTAGAAAATGTGATCCGCAAAAAAGGAAAGCTCAGAATTCACAGAGGAGTAACTCACCGGTGTGGTTCAGCAAGCATGAATTTTCATTGACGACATTGCTATAGACTATATATATATGTATAATATGAACGTGAGCAGGTAAATGCTGTATCTCCGTTTCGCGGTGGACTCCTAACGGACGCTTCCGTGTGATTTGCATAAAATGAGGCCACCCCTATGTTTCCCCGGAGAGTACTACACATACATATGCACGCATTTCGTGTATCGACAATGTAGCGGCAACCCGTTTTAGGAAGGGTGACAACTATCCCAGCCTACACCATTCATTCCCAAAGGGGTATCTTGAGAGCTCTTATGGTACCTCGAATATTGCACTCACACACACACACACATACACCAGGCTTTTAATGTCCAGATACATTTCAATTTTATTTTAATTAATACAAATTAATATATTTATTTATAAATATTTCCGGCTTTAGCGAAATTTTGTTTATTAATTGCAAATTTGTTTTTATTAAATTCCGTATTTATTATTTATTGTTGTTTATTTATTAATATTACTATTTTTATTTTATAAATATAATATTTTTTAAAGTATAAATTTATAAATATATTTACAAAAACAATAATAATCTAAATTAATTATCATTATTTATTTAATAAAATATTAGTCAAATTAATTTAGTTGATTTTTCAACAATAATTATAGTTATTAAATGCATTCATATGTTAATTTACAACATAAATACACTTGACAAATATCGGTCATGTTTAAATAAAAGTAATGTTTACAAATTCTTAAAAAAAAAAAAACAAAAGAGAAAGAGAGAAAAATTGAATGAAAAATCCGATGCATTATATATGTAAATCCAAAAAATAATATTTAAATAATAAATATAAAATAAATAAAATAACAATAATCTAGATCTTTAATCAATGGACTAATAAAAATGGATTATAAAATAATAGCAATAAATAAATTAAAAATAACTAGAAAAATAATAAATATAAGAGTTTAATAATAAATATTTAATAATAATTAATAAAATAATTAACAAAGGAAAGTAATATTTGAAATAATAATTTAGTTATATTAAATTTCAATATCTTTTAAATATATTTTGTTTAAAACTATTGCTAATTTTTTTTATACATAGATAGTTAAAATATTAACAAGATGGTAAAAATTGTTAAAAAGTGGAAAAATAAAAAATTACCGACATAGAAATCTACCTTACCGACTAATGGTAAAACCGGTTTTTTTGGCAAAATGAAAATATAAAAAATTACCGACATAGAAATCTACTTTACCGACTGATGATAATTTTTTCTAGAATTTTCTCAAAAAAATTCAAAACTGTTTTAATATCAGTCGGTAAGGTAGATTTCTATGTCGGTAATTTTATATTTTCATTTTAAAACACATGTTTTATCATTAGTCCGTAAGGTAGATTTCTATGTCGGTAATTTTTATATTTTCATTTTTAAAAAAACCTGTTTTACCATCAGTCGGTAATGTAGGTTTCTATATCGGTAATCTTTATATTTTAATTTTTCGGAAAAAACTGTTTTATCATCAGTCGGTAAGGTAGATTTCTATGTCGGTAATTTTTATATTTTAATTTTAAAAAACCTGTTTTATCATCAGTCGGTAAGGTAGGTTTCTGTATCGGTAATTTTGATATTTTCATTTTTCGAAAAAACCTGTTTTATCATTAGTCGGTAAAGTAGATTTCTATGTCAGTAATTTTTTTTGATATTTTTATTTTTTTAAATAACCTGTTTTGCCATCAGTCGGTACATTTCTGTGTCGGTATTTCTTTTATTTATAATCCTAATGATCGCGTATATAGGACCCGCATAATTCGGATTCTCGTTTACATCGGTTTTTTTCCGGTCCCTTAAAATCCGATGTACGTGGGTTTCACTGTATGTATTCTTGTCATGAAGGCATTTATTTATTTCAAAGAGAGAGAGAGAGAGAGAGAGAGAGAGAGAGAGAGAGAGAGAGAGAGAGAGAAATTGATCTGAATTTCTCTCCAATTCGCGGAGCACTTTTCCTAGCAATTTCAGAGGATTTCGAGTATTTTTTTCTTAAATATATCGAATGCCAAAGCAATTCGCATTTCCTTTATAAAAAGAAATTGATAGAATTTATTGAAAGCCCCGAGAAACGAGAGTAATGTATGCAAATATCTTTTAATTTAAAAAAAATAATGTTTCAAACGATTGAAATTCTGTTATATATACATATATATCAAATATTTTATATACTTTATAATATAAAAAATTTTTTAAAAAATTTCTAATCACCAAAATTTCTTAATAACTATTTTTATATTTTATTTAAAATAAATTAAATAAATTAATTAAAAAATATATGAATAATATTTAATAATAATAAAAATAATAATGAATATATTTTTAACAAAATAAAAAGATAAACATTATGAAAATATAATTAGAAAGAAAGCAGGACATTTTTTTTCAAGATGCTATAAAGATTTTTGTATAACAAAGAAGATTATAAATATAATAAATTTCAAGCATGAATAAAACTTGATTTTTTTTAGATGCCCTACATTTTTTGATAATACCTTTTATAATCAATTAATTTGCATCGCTGATTTTTAACAGAAAAATCCCTCAAAGAAATGATTTTACAATTTTTTTTAAATATATTTTTTTTTATTTTACTCCCTCTATAATATTCATTATTATTTTGATTAAGAAAAATTAAATTTTTCTCTTTTTCAAATTATATTTTTAAAAAATGCAATTACATTAAAATTATGCGATAATAGTGATTTTTTGTAGAATTAAAAAATTAATTTTTTTTTTTAATGTGCAGGAAATAAAAAAATTTCTAGACTAATAAAGCTCAGTAAAAGAAAAAAAATTAACAAAGTAAGTAACATATGCGTTTTAATATAATTATTGTTAATTTTATTATATTATTATGACCCAATTATTTATAAACACATTCCAGGGGAATATAAAAATACAAAGATTTATTCAAACTTAGCCAGGTGAAAGAAAAACAATTTTACATTATTTTTCTCTCGTTAAAAATATAGGTTTTTTTTAAAAGAAAAATAAATAAATAAACACAAAAATAAATATTATTCTCATATATAAAAACAGAACATGCAAATATGCAAAAATGTGTATGATTATATATATATATATATATATATATATCAGTATATATAGTAATATATTTTATATCAATCCCACAGCAACAAAATTACAAATATGTACATATAACGTACATAAAAATTTTTTATTCAAAAAAATATATCAAATTTAAATATTAAAAAATATTTTATTTAATAATTAATATTAATAATATTTAATTTTTTTCTGTTATAAATTATTTGTTATTTCAAATTCTTGTTATAAGAAATTTTTGTTTTTTAAAAATAAAATTTGAAAATGGTATGCAATCAATTAATTTTTTTTTTTTTTGATAGTCTTTATTATTCTAAAGGTTTTTTAATATATATATGATGATAAATAGAAAAATAAAATCGCCCGCATTGAATGAAGAAATCTCATGTATAGAAAAGCGGACCGTAATTTTAGCTGGAAAATATTTCCAGGTCATAGCAAAGGATAATGAACATACAAATCGAATAAAAGCGTAATCATTGAGAAAAAAAAAATAAATCAGAGGAACTCGAAAAATATTTCTCCTAACCTAATATATATATATATATATATATATATGAAAAATTTATTGATGCCACTTTGATGCTCAATATTATTTTTATTAATTAACCCTCTCTCTTTGTCTTATATTGAACCATTTATATCAAAATTTTCATTTTATTACTAAAACCAAAAAATAAATTCAATAATTTTTTTTTATTTTACACTGAAAAAAAAATTATTTGATTGAAATAAACGGTTACTTGACTGTTATCAAATAATTTTTATTTGAGTCAATTAAATAATATTTGTTTCAAATACAGAAATTCAAATACAATTTATTTAATTTAAATAAAAAAATGTTTCATTCAAGTAAATATTTATTTTAATAATAATCAAAAGTAACAGAGTATTTAAATCAAATAAATTTTTTTTTTCTGTGATTTAAATATTTTTATTAAATTATAAAGAATTTTAATTGGAATTTCTGTCATTTAAAAATTCGAATCACATAAAATTCAAATGAATGCGAATTCTGTTAAATTAAAATTCTTTTATATATAAAAATTCATTACTAAATTATTATATTATTATCGTATTTTGTTATATTATATTATATTACATAGTATTCATTAAAATAAATAGTTTAAAATAAAAATCTGTTAAAATTATTACATAATACTATTGTTTTTAAACTACACATATATAATAATTTAATTTATAATCAAAGGGCTTTGTTTAATATATTTGGTATCAAAGCGCGTGCGAACAGATTCAAATGAAATGAACTCTATATATTCTTCATGATTAATTAACAAGAAGGATGTGTGTTTATTTAATTAATTGGCTTTGGGATTTCTAATTATAGAGAGCTAATATGACGTGTGTTTTCTGTCTCTCTCTCTTTCTCTCTCGGAAGGATATAGAAAAATAATCGGAGAGGATTTAAGTAAGTATTATATAGAATTTTATCCGCGGCGAAGAAAACTTGCGGCAATCAATGTCGATTTTAGGAGCAGCTCAAGTTTTTGAAAAGTTTTCAGAGGGAGAGAGAGAGAGAGACCGCGCAGTAAAACTACATCTGAAAGCACTTTTGTTTTTTATGACATCGCACCGACCGGTATATATATATATATATATATACCAAGCAGGAATGCACTATATACGCAAATGCCCCGGCTTTATTGAGGAGTTTTGCACCCGTGTGACCTCCTCTCGAACCTTTATAACTAAAAGGTTAGAAGGCCAGGGTAGAGAAAGAGAGAGAGAGAGAGAGAGAGATCTGTATGGTATACATGCAATAAAAGCCGACCTGCATACATATATATTTACTATATATGAACTTTTTTCTTTATTTTTCTTTTTTTTATAAAACTTTTTCTTGAAACTTGGATTTCAACCTTTACTACTTCTTATATACTATTTATACTTTTCACACTATTGAAAAATGAAAACATATATATATATATATATAACGAGAGAGTGGCGAGAACATTTTACAAAACGTCACACCTTTCCCTATGAAATCCCCATTCATATTAAATGCAAACAGCGCGAGCTATTTTCTCCGATAGAAAACCCATTTTTCTTCTATTTTTTTTTTTGACAAAACCTGACAAAAATAATTGACTCTTTCACGTTTTTATATTCAAAAGAATTTTATTTATTTATGTGATGCATGAATAAGTTTTAAAAATTAATTATTGGAATTTTTATTTCATAGATTTTCGTTAGATATAAAAGTTTCATTGAGACGAATTTTATTTGTTCGAATTATTATTTTGCGCAGAATTTATAAGAATTTTTCATTTAACCGAATTTATTTATATATATATATATATTACAGAATTTTTATATAAAACCAAAAATTCACTTCACCGAATTTTATTTTGTCCGAATTTTTAAATAAGCGAAAATTAACTTTATTGAATTTTAATTTGTCCGAATTTTTATATAAGCAAAATATTAATTTACCGAATTTTAATTTGTATGAATTTTTAAGACGCCAAATTTTCATTTGTCCGAAATCAGAAGCCAAAATCTTTCGGTCAATTGTTTGTTCGGTCATTTCCAAATTCGGACAAATGAAAATTTAGTTAAATGATTTTTTGGTTAAGTATGAAAATTTTGTATTATGTAAATTCAATCAAATAATAATTAGAACGAATATGTATATATATATGGTATGAAATAAAATTTCCTTTTTATGAGAAAGATCTAGTTTTATTTTAGTCCAGACAGACTTTATATAGTAAAATTTGTCTCGTCCGCTTAAACGACAGCGTGCGGAAAACTTTTATGAGATTCAATTTATATTCTTCCTTTAAAAATAAAAGAAAAAAATAAAAAAGAATTAAACAATTTTTACATCATAATTTTTTTTTCCATGGAAAATGATTGATGTGCGATAGAATAAAATATTGATGAAATAAATCACATACACACATCTCTGTATAAAATTTTAAAGTTAAATTTCTATGTTTAAAAGTATTGGAAAAAAAATATTAGAGGAAATTGACTCAAATAATAATTATTTTATATAATTAAATACATATTTGCGATAGAAATAAATATTTATTTGATACAAATAATTATTTATTTAATAAAAATAATTATTCATTTGGTTCAAGTATAAATATTTATTTGATAATAATTAAGTAACCGATTATTTGAATATAATAAATTTTTTTTATCTACAATAATTTTTTACTGCTCGTTTAAAAAAAAAAAAAAAGGAAAAGAAATTGAATTTTATCACAAGAAAAATGACAATCCATGCAATAAACAATCTAACAATCTAACGAGGCAATATACGATTTTCCGGAAGCCGTTGCTACCCTTGCTTAACTCCTGCAGGTCGTCCAACTTGTCCCTAACTCAATAAAACTCTCATCCTTGGGAACTTTATAGAAAATATATATATATATATAGAGAGAGAGAGCCAATATCCAAGAGTTGGGTTTTCGTCGGCTAGACGAGCGAACCAACTTTGAAAAACTTATAAACCTGTGTGCAAAATAAAAAATAAAAAAAAAGAAACAGCAAAAACATTTTCAAATACACTTTTTCTCTTTTATTAATCACAAAATTGATTAGAAAAATCATACTCATTTTTTTAAAACTATTGCTGGACTTTATCTAAAAAAAGTCAGCAAAAAAATTACTTACAGTAAGATTGCACTAACTGATGGTAAAACAGTTTTTGTAAAATAAAAAAAAATTACCGACACAGTAATCTACATTACCGACTGATGGCAAAACAGTTTTTAAAATAAAAAATAAACAAGTTGAAATCTACCTTACCGACTGATGGTAAAACAGTTTTCTTGGGGGGGGGGATGAAAATATACAAAATTACCGACATAGAAATCTACTTTACAGACTGATGGTAAATTTTTTTAGAATTTCTCAAAAAATTTCAAAACTGTTTTAATATCAGTCGGTAAGGTAGATTTCTATATCGGTAATTTTTTATATTTTGATTTTTCGGAAAAACTGTTTTACCATCAGTCGGTAAGGTAGATTTCTATATTGGTAATTTTTTATATTTTCATTTTTTTAAAAAAAACCTGTTTTATCATCAGTCGGTAAAGTAGATTTCTATGTCGGTAATTTTTAGAGTCTTTTACCATCAGTCGGTAAGGTAGATTTCTAGATCGGTATTTTTTATATTTATATATTTTTTATTTTTAACTAATAATTTCTCTATTTAAAGCAGATAATATTTAATTTACTCAACTAATATAATGTTATTCGATACAAATAAATATTAATAATAAAAATAATAATATATAACAATTAATAGTACAAAATTTTTTTCAATTAAATTTATAATCTAATTGAATAATAATCGAGGAGAATAGTTTGAATAATAAGAAGATAATATAAGATATATAAATATATAATTTAAAAGAGGTTATATGCATTATTCAATTTTAAGATGAGAAGATTATCGCAATAATTAGCATAAAAAAAAAATAGAAATAGTAGGAATATAAACGTAATATCGTAATTTCACGTGGGAGATGAATAAAACAAAAGTTGGTGGTTGGAGAAATTTATATATGGAAGAAACGTTTTTGAATATGACAATACCAAGTGAGAAAATTTATGAAAGAAACTATATATATATATATATACACGATAAGAGAAAAGCTTGAAAAGTTCCTCAGAATTATGTTTGGGTAAAAAGTTAATAAATTTATGGAAGGATTTACTAAGCAGAAAACAACTTTTCTGGTCGTCGGATCGTAAATAAATAAAGCGCAAAGTATATAAACTCCTCTCTCTCTCTCTCTCTCTCAAATACTATGCAGAGAGATGCTCAAAAAGTTTTATATATTTTAAATATGAATACAAAACCTATGTACCTAATTAAAAAAAATTGTGCAAATTTTCATCGCTTCTGATGCACACTCAAAACTTATTATTTATGCCTATGTATTTTTTAAAACGATTCAAGATTCACTGTGAATAAGTTAAATTAAAAAAAAAAATTGTCAGAAAATTGTATTTATTATAATTTTTGAAAAATTTTCAATTGTTTTTATAAAAAATTTTTTTTTAATTTCAATTGTTTTAATTTTGGTATTTCTTTTTTTTCGTTATACCATGATCGTTTGGTTTCATTGCTTAGAAAATAATAATCTTTTACGAGAAAAATGTCAAGTTCAAAGGCTATAAATCGCGACGATGGAAAATCGCCGAGAGGATCATCTGCATTAGACAGATTGTCTAACACTCAAAGCTCCCATGGATCCGATGTATGTAAAAAAAAAACCCATTTTACGTTTGAAATTTCTCTTTTTTTAATATTTTTCCTTTCCTTTAAAATTTGTTTTCAAAAAAAAAGAAAAATTACTCTTTTTTTCATATGTAAAAACCGCAAATTGAAGCAGCTAAATCGAAAGTCACTTTCAGGACTAAATGTACCAACAGGAAATTTTTTCCGAAAACTCGCCGATGGTTCATGGGTAAATTTTTCTATATTTAAAAAAAATTAATTTTACTTCAATAGTTAAAATTTTAATTAATTTTAATTTAAAATTTAAAGTAAATAATTATGTTAAATTTAAAAAATATAAATCATATTGAAAATCAAAAAAAATAAATTTGATGTTAAATTTGTTTGTGTTAAAATTCTTATATAATAAAAAGTATATTTATTTATTTATTAAATATCTCGACGGAATAGTTTAATAAAAAAAAATCCATAAAAATATAAATGTACATGTACATAAAAAATTGTAACATAAAGACGAGTCTGTAAAATTGAGCACCAATCTATAAAAAAAAAAAATACTAAAATTTTCTGCAATATTCCTTGTGGTTGAACTTGATTTAAAAAAAAAAATATTTCCATTATCAAAAATATTTCTCATTATGTCTTTTAATAACAAATAATTTTGTTTATTAATTTTATTGATTAAAAAATATCCCCCTCTAAAAAGGTCATTGTTTTGTATAATATTGAGAAAATAATTTAAAATTCTTGAAATAAATAAAAAATGGCAAAATTTTTTCTTCTTTTTTTTTTAATAAAATTTTCAGATGCCAAGATACCAGAACAGCTATCGTTTAGAACCTTATAATCGATTTAATCCGGAAGTAGCTGATTCCATAATAAAAAATATAATGGTTAAAAAATTATCGACTCTAACGTTATATGATCCTACGGAAGTTGAAAAATTAATCACAGACATAATTAACGAAGTATTGAAAGCCCTTATAAAACGTGATTACGATAGGTAATAATTTCTCTGTACACATAATATAATAAAAAAAAATATTTATCAATACATAAAAAAATATATAAATATTTATATAAATAAAAACTTAAATAAAAAAAATATAAAAAAATTTATTGATCAATATATAAAAAATATATAAAAAAAAAATATTACAAGAAATTCAAATAAATATATAAATATAAAAAAATTTATATATATTGAAAAATATATTTTCGAAACGAAAAATTTTAATTTAAAAATAAAAAAAAAGATAAATTTTCCCTTAAAGATATAATGAGCCACGTGAAAAATTAAAGAATATTCAAAACTAATTTCATATAAAATATTCAGTGTACAGAAAAAAAAATGTGTTGTATTTATAAAGAAATGCGAAAAAAGGGATAATGAGCGTGAATAAATGACCTATAACGGCTCTCTGTGTGTGAAAGTGGAAGTTTCATTTATTCCAAAAGAATAATAGAAAAATTTTATGCTTCACAATAACTGGTTTTCATTTTTTTTTTCTTTTTTTCTTTTTTTTTAACAGATGCAAGCTCGTCGTACAAGCGAGCGTGGTGCAGAATGCTTTTCAAGGCATTAATGTCGGATTGGGGTGTCTTTGTGACAGCGAGCGTGATAATTACTCTTATTACGTCTATGAAAATATTCACATACATGCATGGTGTATGGCATTTGCTGTATATTATGAATAACAACTCTGCATTTTAGAAAGCATAAATTAAATACATATAGAAGGGTATTTAAAATCATTCATTTGGAAATTTCAATATTTTAAAAAATCCTTTTCACAAAACGAAAAAAAAACATGTGTGTGTTATAAATGGTTTTATGAATTTTTTATAATATTTTTTTTTTTAATCCAAGTATTACATAACTAATGTGTGTGTGTGTTCCGTTTATAAACAACCAAATAAATGAAATATTTAAAAAAATAAATAAAGAAAAAAAAATTTTATTTACATGACTTTTTATTTAAAAGAATTTTAATTTAGCAGAATTCTCATTCAATCGAATTTTTAAATTAACAGAAATTCCAATTGACCGAATTTTTAAGACGCCGAATTTGTCCGAAATTACAAATAGCCGAACAAACAATCGATTTCGGCGCTATTTCAAAATAAACCAATCACGATTTTCTTGATAATTTTTAATTGGTCAATTTTAAAAAATTGCGCCGAAATCATTCTGTCCATTATTTGTTCGGCAATTTGTAATTTCGACCAAATGAAAATTCGGCGTCTTAAAAATTCGTACAAATTAAAATTCGGTGAATTGGAATTTCTGCCAATTTAAAAAATCGAATCACATTAATTACATAACCACAATTATATAGAAAAATAAATATTAATAAAAAAAAAAAAAAAAAATGAAAAATATAATTTTTTTCTCCGAAGATATTTTTAATCTCTGCGATTTGAAAAGGACTTTATATTTGGGTTGACAGTAGAGACTCGCCAAGTGGTAAAAATCGAAATCGATTAAAAGTAACCAGCCTGATATTAATATTTATTAGTTCCACAACTTGTCCCCTTCCATCCCTTCGAAAACTCTCTTTTTCTTCTTTTATACTGAAGCCAGCCCACTTTTAACGTTTCTCAAGCCAACACTCGATGATTTATCGAGAAACTTTCGGTCGGTTCGTCTACTCTTCGTCCGGAATAATAGCCCGGCAATTTAAAGTTTCCGAAACACGACCGACATTTTTATAATTTTATACGTGAATGTCTCTTCCTGTGTGCGCTTCAACAAGAGAGAGAGAGATAGAGAGAGAGAAAACGGGCGCGGTGATAATATAACCTTACCGAGCTTTAAATTAACGAGGCTATTCGTTCCGGTGATCTTGATTTGAACCAGAGAGGCTTTACCCTGACCACTCGCCATTAAAATTTCCCCAAGACTGATATTCTAAGCTTTCACATATATAGCAGAATAACGAGAAAATGTAAAAAATTATACATGTGAATGATATTTTTTTTCTTTTTTAATTAAATACTTTTTTATATTTAATTATAGTTTACAAATAAATAATAATAATTTATTTAAATTTAAATCAATCTACCCTCAATTTTATGTTACTAATCATTTTTTTTTAATGATTTCTAAGTTTTGGGCGCTTTAGTTAAGGACGCCATCACTAGAGGGAGCGTTTTTAGTTGAGGACGCCATCACTAGAGGGAGCGTTTTAGTTGAGGACGCCATCACTAGGGGGAGCGTTTCAGTTGAGGACGCCATCACTAGGGGGAGTGTTTTTAGTTAAGAACGCCATCACTAGGGGGAGTGTTTTAGTTGAGAACGCCATCACTAGGGGGAGTATTTTAATTGAAGACGCTACCACTAGAGGAACGCCACAGAGTTTAGAACTATAATTCTTTATATTCTATAAAAAAAATTCTTTATTCTACAAAAAATTCTTTTAAAACGAAAATTCTAACAATTTATAAAGCCGCACCGACATTGATTAAAAAATGAGTAAAAATTTTAACTATTTTAAATTAAACCAATTTACAAATACTCAAATAGCGAATATATTGTTTTATATATAAACTATAAAGCAAAATTTTTCAAATAAAGCTGAAAATTTTGATAAAAAAAAAAAAAAAAAAAAATCATTTAATTCCAATTTCAATAAAACGGAAATATTGTTTATATTGTACTATTATTCATAGATTGACAAAGACAAACTAACAAACGATTAATTAAAAGTTCAACAAAGGAAAGTTTCAAATCATGCGCATGTTATAGAAAAAAAAAATTTATTTTTCACGAAATTCGCAAAGTTGATTGTGATTCTGATTTTTTATTATTATTATTATTATTATTTGTAACGAAAACAAGAAGAAATTTTTAATAAAATTTGTTGTTTTCATAACGGAAGTTGAAAAAAAGGTTTCGTTTTACTATCATATATAGAAATTTTTTTTCAATTTAATTAAAAGGCGCTATTCGTATATATGAAATATTTCGAGAAAGTTGTATATAATATGAAGAAAAATGTGAATTCGAGTGTGTCTATATAAACAATAATTGATAATTAAATTACAAATACCGCGTTCTTATTTTCAGTTTTCCTATATATATATATATATATATATATATATATATACAGGAAAACGGGAAATATATATATATATATGTATATAAATAGATAAAACGAGAAAGAGAGAAACTTTCACATAAGAGATGTCGTCCTCTGCAATCTCAACTGGACCAAATAGGAAGAAATAGTGATTCGGAACGAACTTGTTTCAAGTTTGTTCTGAAAAGATAGATACCAGAGAGAAAGAGAGAAATCGAAGAAGAATAAATGAAAATAAACTCTATAAGCGTTGGACATCATTTTATTTACGATTTTTTTTTTTTTTTGCCTTCGCCTCCGAGAGATATAAAATACAAATTATTGCAATTTATTTTTTCATTTTTTAAATTAGTCCCGATAATAATTGAATTTTTTTTTTTAATATTATTAGACATTTGCTCTTTTATTAAATTGTTTTTGTTTTCTCATGGAAAATGCGCGGAAAAGGAAATTTTAACGCTATATGCTAATTAGAGAAACAAAAAAAAAAAATGAAAGAAAAAACAAGGAGTGTAATTATTTTTTTATATTAAAACTACGTATGTATTTAATACCACTACTAATAATAATAATTAAAGAAAAATGTAATAAAAAAAAAACTAAAAAATGAAATAGAAAAAAATAATAATTATTATTATTATATTTTTCGCTTTTATGTTATAAATATTTTCAAACGATTATTTAAATATTTGAGAGTGGACTAAGATTTATATAATATGGAGAAATATATAATAATAATAATAATAATAATAATAATAATTTGACATAATGTCTTAGATAGAAATTACTGTACAGAATGTAAAGCACGTCGCTCGTTAAATTAATGGCGCAATTTTGGAGCTGCATTATGTTGCATCACACACACCTATCTTGCTACTATAAAGAAATCGAACTTAAAGGAAATGTTAACACTTCTATATATAGAGTCATCAAACCAACCATTTCGAGAATTTAGAGTCAAAGAATCACTTCGATTTACGACTGTAATACTCCACGAGAGTGTCGATCAAAAAACGCACACGGAATTTTATATATGCGAAACTAAATGTGTTTCATTAAAAAAAAAAAATAATAAAATAAAAAAAAAATATTTATATAATAGAATAAATAAAAAAAATTAAAAATTTTTTCAGTGAAATATAAAAAATTTGATTCAAATAATCGGTTACTTATTATCAAATAAATATTTAATTGAACCAAATAAATTTTTTTCTTTTTTAATTAAATAAACTGTATTTAAATCAATATAATTATTTTGTATATTACTATTTTTTTATTTATTATTAGCTTTTTTAGGTTTCGAGGAAGAATTGTAAAACTATGTAATAAATACACAAAGGAGTAAAAACCTAATCTAATTGAGAGTTAAATTAAATGTATATCGAAAATATTTTCAATTATTCTTACATTACGTAATTGCTGGTGATAATCGTAGTTTGCCATCAAATTGCGATCCCTTTATTTCAAACCTTAAAACAAAACAAAAATTATTATTTATTTATTTGTATATATAAAATAAAAATAAATAAAATTAATAAATAAAAAAACAATATAGAATCAATAATTTGTGTCTTTGAAACAAATACCATTTAATTAGCTCAAATAATAATTATTAATAAAAATCTTCTGATTTTGTGAAATAAATAATATTTTTGAGAAAGTTTTGATATTTTATATATTATATATAATATATATATATATATATATATTATAATACAGAATTATATATGAGAACGAAACTATCATCCATCAGAGACTTGATTTGTTGGTAAAGACATAAAATCAATGCCGATACTTATTTACATTTAAATTATTTGAACATTGGTCCAGGGGAAAATTGGACTCGACATCATCACCACCACCATCGACGTGGCATGTTGTATTTCGTAGGACGATTTTTCTCGCTTCGGAGAACTTTTCCGTTTGCTGTTTTAATCAGACTACTGCCCCCTCCCCTCCCACTCCACCTACACCCCATACCACCCTCCATCAGGATTTAACGAGATCGTAATTAAATTTCCCCCGATTAAAAACAGAGAAAAAGACGCGAAAAAAAAATAAGGGAAAAAAACGAATATATAGAGAATTATCGACAGCAAATCTATTTGTACATCTATTTCATTATATCTCAATGTTTGAGTGTTGGTGTCACTCAAAATAACGTAAAAAAATCATAATAATTAGAAATTACAATTTTTTTCTAATTTAAAAAAAATTTTATTTTATAATATACAGTGAAACCCACGTATATTCGCTTTTAAAGGGACCGGAAAAAATTTTGAAAAATTAAAATGTAAAAAATACCGACATAGAAATCTACCTTACCTTACAAAGTCAAATAAAATTGAACAGTATGTCTCTATTATTTTTTTACCTTTAAACAACACAAATTACCTTTAAAAAAACACCTACCAATTGAACCTAAATTGTAAGAGAATAAGAATAATCTATTTTATTCGATTTTTTTTTTTTAGAAAGAACGTGTATAACAAAATATTTACTTGTACTACTGCTATAACTTATTTATACTACTAAGAAAATTTCAAACATTTAGAATGTCTGGCTAAATATTTATTTGAACCACTGAATAAATTAAGAAGTGCTTTAAAAGTTTGACACAAGGTCAAGTCAAGGTCGTTCAAGGTCATTTGAAGGTCACGTCAAGGTCATTCAAGGTCATTTGAAGGTCAAGTCAAGGTCATTCAAGGTCGTTTGAAGGTCAAATCGAGAATGTCTGACTAAATATTTACTTGTATTACTAACAAAATTGCAAACCCGTCCAACTAAATATTAACTTGTACTACTGACAATATTGTACTACTTCTTGTACTACTGCTGACTAATACTACTGACCGTCCAACTAAATATTAACTTGTACTACTACTTGTACTACTGCTGGCTAATACTACTGACCGTCCAACTAAATATTAACTTGTACTACTGACAATATTGTACTACTACTTGTACTACTGCTGACTAATACTACTGAGAAAATTTCAACTATTAGAATGTCTGGCTAAATATTTATTTGAACCACTGAATAAATTAAGAAGTGCTTTAAAAGCTTGACACAAGGTCAAGGTCAAGTCAAGGTCGTTCAAGGTCATTTGAAGGTCAAGTCAAGGTCATTCAAGGTCATTCAAGGTCATTTGAAGGTCAAGTCAAGGTCATTCAAGGTCGTTTGAAGGTCAAATCAAGAATGTCTGACTAAATATTTACTTGTATTACTAACAAAATTGCAAACCCGTCCAACTGAATATTAACTTGTACTACTGACAATATTGTACTACTACTTGTACTACTGTTGACTAATACTACTGAGTAATACTACTGAGAAAATTTCAAACATTTAGAATGTCTGGCTAAATATTTATTTGAACCACTGAATAAATTTTGAAGTGCTTTAAAAGCTTGACACAAGGTCAAGGTCAAGTCAAGGTCGTTCAAGGTCATTTGAAGGTCATGTCAAGGTCATTCAAGGTCATTTGAAGGTCAAGTCAAGGTCATTCAAGGTCGTTTGAAGGTCAAATCAAGAATGTCTGACTAAATATTTACTTATATTACTAACAAAATTGCAAACCCGTCCAACTAAATATTTACTTGTACTACTACTTGTACTGTGGATAGAATGTTTTCCTGGAAAATGAAAAAATCCTTTACATAGTCAAATAAAATTAAACATCATGTCTCTATTATTTTTTTACCTTCAAACAAAACATATTACCTCTAAAAAAAACCCTACCAATTAAACCTAAATTGCAAGAGAATAAGAATTATAAATTTTGTAGTCCTTTCGTTTATAAAAATTTTTAAAGTGTCGGAAATAAATTTTACTCTATTTATTCTAGCAATTTTTTTCTACACTTTTAAGTGTATTTTGTGCAAGAAAATGCAATACAATAGTCTGCCTAAGAAAAATTGAATTTTTTTGAAAATTTTTAATTTTATTTTCATTAATTTTCTATTATAAAAAAAATTAACTAGTCAATGATTTAAGGGAAAAAAAAATTTAATTTAAAAAAGTTTTAACTTTCGCATATTATTTGAAACATATATATACTGTTTTATATTATAAGAAAAAAAAATCCATCTTGCACAACTTTTTTGACTAAATGGCAAAGGATGATATTGATTACATAGTTAATATTTACATTTTTAATCACAAGTCTTTTGTGTTCTCTTAGAAATTCGCAAAGACTGATTTAATATTCCTTTATATAAAAGAAAATTTATATTAGACCGTCAAAGATATAGGATAAAGAAAAAAAAGCTTATCTGAAAGTAAAAGAGAGAGAGAAAAAAGAGTTTAGTTAGAGAGAGAGATTTTCCTTGAAAGGGTCTTTGACTTTCTAAAAACTTGTTATGTGCACGAACGTTTTAATGCTCTTGCGAATTCAATGCGAAAAAATAGAATGTTGTTTTAAAAATTTATTTCCTACTCTTCTATATATATTATTTATCAACATTTAAAATTCTTATATTTCAAAACAAAAATTGTTTTCAACTTTTATTTCTGTAAAAATGGAATAAAAAAATATTTTTAATATATTTTTACATAATTATCATTATTAAAAAACGTGTCTCAAATTTTGGTTTCTTAAAAAATTATTCCGAATTGTAAAAAAAAAAATAAATAAAAAAATTGTTTTAACTAAAATATATTTTTAGAGCAATTTTTGTTAAAAATACCTAAATCGATTTTTTTTTTTTAAACCATTTGGATTGGAGAAAAACCCTTTCTATAAGAACAATCAATCATAGACCTCTGACATCAAGAAGACTCGATTTCAGCAAAGCTAGATAACGCATTCGTCTTTGTCTACCTTAGAGTTATCAAAATGTAAAAATTATATTCCATAAAATATATTCAAAGAAATCTCTTTTTCTTTTTATTGACTTTAAATTATTTTAATCTCTCCTATTTATAATCGTTTAATTCAATTCTAATTATAATTTATAACAATAATATATAAAATTTATAAAATATAAAATTCCAATTCCAAATTATCATTCAAACAGAATTTTATTCTTATTATTTATAATAATTATTTTTTATTTCCATTCATCGAATTTTAATTTGTCCGAAATTTTATTTATAAAAATTTTTAATTGATAGAATTTTTAAGGCGACGAATTTTTATATGTGCAAAATTACAAATTACCGAACAAACAATCGACAGAAAAGAATTTGGCGCAATTTTGAAAAATTGGCCAATCAGAAATATTATCAAGAAAATCGTGATTGGTCAATTTTTTGAAAAATTTGCGCCAAATTCTTTTCTGTCGATTGTTTGTTCGGTCATTTGTAATTTCGGACACATAAAAATTCGGCGCCTTAAAAATTGTAAAAAATAAAAATTAATAATAATAATGATAATGATGATAAAAATAATTATGTTATTATACTACATTATGTTATTTGACGTCACTTGTGTTGGGCTGTTGATAAAGTTAAGGGCAAAAAAAGGCCTATTATATAACTTTAAAAGAGTATACAATATATACTCAAATCCTTAGAAAAAAAAAATAAAGATAAATAGGGAAAGGTTCTCGAATAGCACACGGGACAAATTGAAAATGACCTTACCCTCAATTGATCAGCGTTAGCCAATTGCGAATTATACGAACGAATCTAAGTACTTTATTTACTGACGTCATTAAATTGTCAATTTCAACAAATTACTTCCTTATTTCCCAATATATATTTGATCACTTATATATTTCTTTCTTTTATTGTTCATTGTCTTTAAACATATAAAATTTTATAGTTACATTTTAAATATATTATACTTTAAACAAAAATAACTTCAAGCAAACAATTTAATTTCAACATTTTACTGAAATAATTTTATAATAATTTTTACAATTATAATTAACAATAATATTTCTTTTTGGAAAAGAGAAAAACTTTTTTTAACTGTACGTACGATTTTTCCCTATTAAAAAAAATTTCTTTGTATACATTTTTATTTCATCGATTTTTTTAGTTTTTATAACTTTAAAGTATTGTTGTATAGAAATAAAAAAAAAAAATGGAAAAATGCCCCCGCGCGAGAAGAAGAAAATGAAAAATAAGAGAGAGAAAATAACGGAAATGGAAAAAGTAAAGAAAGAGGTGAGGAAAAGTGACAAATACTTAGTAAAAAAAAAAAAAAAAAAAAAGATGAAAGAGAAAAAAAATGGATATAACATATAAGTAAAGTGAGATGGAAAAATAGAGGGCGAGAAGTGAAGGTTCTGATGGCAAAAGTTCTGTGCAATGTCTGCACATAAATTGCTGAAGAAAGTGGCGAAAAGGAGGTAAGGGTCACAAAAAAAAAAGAAAAAAAAAATAAGAAAAGGAGAAGAAAAGCCATAGTAAAGAAAACGAACCTGCTACTCGATTAAGAGAGAAGGGTAAGGGGGGTGAGAGGGTGGTAAGGAGGCCTGAGATTTAAAGCGAATTTTGTTACTAGTAAATTTCTCCCTC